GATTAAACTTTAATCTTTAAACTGATACCAAATTCATTTAAATCACACCAGTATTTAAAAAGATATCCCGGCTGATGTGAAGAAGTAACGAAAAAGACATGTATGAACTGTTTGATACGTCGCGAGTTGCGGCCTATTTACCCCCTATAAAACACGCGTTTTCGGATTTTTGCTTTCACACGTTGATTCATACACATCTCCGCTTCTTTTGACACTTTACCTGGGATTCTACACCTTCAGAAGCAGCACAAATCCTTGCACTATTGCAAGAAGGGCTCAGCCAGCGGGCTGTCGCACGTCAGCGCCACATAAGCCAGTCCTGGGTTTCGAAAGTTTCAAGACGCTTTCGGGAGACTGGTGGCTTTATCCCGAGACCAAGTTCTGAACAGCGCCGGCGCACATCGCAGAGGGAAGACCGTTTTTTCATGTCAACCTCTCTATGAAATCGTCATTTGACTGGAATCGACGTCCAGTAAGAGCTCAGAAATGTTCGTAGGATAGCTGTTAGCGAGTAGACAGTTTGTCTAAGACATAAGCAATAGAATTTAACTCCAAAAAGGCCTGCCATAGGCTCAAAACTGACGGCAGGTCACCGATAAGCACGCTTTCAATTTGCTCGTACACATCTCGATGTTAAGTCGAGCAAGCCACCCCCATAAGCCACTGTTTCAGCGAACCAGCACTGCACAAATCGCTCCTCAGGCCGCCTATAAACCCGACCTCTTCGACTGCTGCCCTGCAAACACAGTTTGCATTCATCGGAGAACAGAACTCGCCTCCATTACTCGCCTTCCCATCGAGATGTGTACGAGCAAATTGAAAGGGTGCTTATCGGTGACCTGCCGTCAGTTTCGAGCCTGTGGCAGGCCTTTTTGGAGTCAAATTCTATTGCTTATATCTTAGACGAACTGTCCACTCGCTAACAGCTATCTTACGAACATTTTTGAGCTCTTGATGGACATCGGTTACAGTCAAATGATGAGTTCATAGAGAGGTTGACATGAAAAAACGGTCTTCCCTCTGCGATGTGCGCCGGCGCTGTTCAGAACTTGGTGTCGGAATAAAGCCACTAGTCTCCCGAAAGCGTCTTGAAACTTTCGAAACCCAGGACTGGCTTATGTGGCGCTGACGTGCGACAGCCCGCTGGCTGAGCCTTTCTTGCAATAGTGCAACGATTTGTGCTGCTTCTGAAGGTGTAGAATCCCAGGTAAATTTACGCCACTTGGTCAGCCAAGCATTAGTCGCATATAGCTGAGTTTGCAACAGTCTAGGCTAGTGGCTTTAAGATCACTGTTACATCTGAGGAAGGCCACAGTTGTTTCTGGTGACTGGGCTACTTTACTAGTAGATATGTTGTGGAGGACCGGACCAATTACGGAGTACTGGGATACTCAAGCTCTGCAGCTATAAAAAGATCTTGTCACAGATTGACTTGAAACTGTCTGTCTATCCATCAGCAGGTAGTAGTAGTGTGGAAGGTGTTTTTTAATTTAATAGTGATCCTATAAACTAAACCCGGTCAAAGCCCTAACGAAAGCAGTCATACAGTGTTATTTATTTTCCAAACATTATCTTATTGTACGACAATACACTCTGTGTACCTATTTGTTATGGTTGGTATGGTTTCTGCCAAAATTGATAGTCGAGTATATTATATTACATGGGTCATACTTATGTAAGGGGATAAACGTCCAAGCATGGTCCTTTCCCACAATTTTGACAATACAAGTGTCAGGATAATAGAGCAATAGGATGAGACTTTGTTAGGCGGCTTTCCAGCCTTATGGATAATTTTCCAAAGTTAAGGAACTTGCGAGGTTCTCACTCAGTGTGTCGGCCGTTCGGTGTAGTGGTTCATAGCACTCATAATCTATGCCGGAGGTCGCGGATTCGATTCCCGCACAGTACAAACATTTGTAAAAAAACCAAATAGTCAGTGCAGTATAGAAGTCGGCGCGCCGACAGCCGATCGTCGGCGGCGGCGGCGTGAAAAAATTCGCGGCGGCGGCGGCGCGCCGGCGTGGCGCCCACCTCTACTCCCAATGTAGAGTCGTATTTGATAGAAAGGGGCTAATATAAGGGACCCTCAAAGCTCGCAATTCAGCTGCTGAGGTTTGCGACTCAATGTAGAGTCGTTACTTGATAGAAAAGGGCTACGGAATCTCAAAGCTCGCCATTCAGCTGATAAGTTTCGCTACTCCCAATGTACAGTCGTTATTTGATAGAAAGGGGCTAAACGGGCAACAGAGCAGTCCGACACATTATATCGACCACGGGCACGTACGAGGGTCGGGCGGAGCCTGGTACCGAGTGCTCCATGCAATTGGAACCGTTTCACCTCACGCAGGTTCCCTTCAATGTTAAGCCTGACACGGAAAATGTCCTTTGGCCTGATTTCGGTTACAGCTTACATTACAATGTTGTTTTCTTTTCAGAATATTTATGGTGGCATCATGAAATATTTATTACTTGGATAACCCTATCATTGTTTTGCAATCAAAATAGCAAAGAGCAAAAATAAAAAAGATAATCATGGACAATACTGGTCTTACGCCATTTGGCCTGCACAAAGCGAGATGTTGTTACAGGCCATTGTTTCCCAAATTAGTATTGCAGCTCGTAAGTGTTAAATAATACGTAATTTCGTTATTTCAATATAGAGTACCCTCTTACGTTTTGATGGGTATAACGAAATTTTCACACATTGTGTTGTGTTGGCATTGTTGTATTTAACGGAGTTTCAAGCAGCGTATCATTTTTAAATGAATGCCGGCTACGAGGGCTTCTTTACAAGCGTATCCGTAAATGTATTACACACATTTCATAAGCCAAACGGCACGGAAACGCATGGTCAAAGAGAAAACAAACAAAAACGTGCCGACATCGGTTTCCATTCATAAATGTTGGCTCATTGTCGACGTTTCACTAGGCAAATATTCGTTTTATGTAATGTGTAAGTGTGTGTTGTGTGTGCCTAAGTCGGAGTCTGATGCGTGCTCCACTTGCAGCCTAATTGAATTAGAAGCAATCGGCTCCGATGACGCGGTATACTGCGCCAATGCTGGTGCCGCCCCCTTAGTGTCGCCCTACGGTCATTGTTCCTCCTTACCACTTGTGATTATGAGAATTCTTAATTAAGAACATCTTGCTTCAGGTGTCCCTGTTTTGATCATGAGTTTCTCTGATAACTTTGAAATTGACAGGTTGTATTGCTTCTCAGAATGAAATTGTAGAGATATTAATATATATTAAGAGTATCTAACATCCAATTATCTTTGAGATGAAATAGGAATATGGTATTGTATTGTAGACTACTGTGCAATATACATAGGGCCTATAGTATATGATATGTCCACCATACCACCAACCAAGCGAAAATTATAGTTGCTGGTCCATAATTGACTCTACCTACAAAATTACACTGTGTTTTCCGTTGGAATTTGTAACTTTTACCATTTGTGGAATTCCACTTCATAAGTACATTTTATTTGTGGTAGAAAACTTGGCCGCGCCTACATAACAAGTACGAGCGTGACAAAAGTTGACAAAAACTTTCACTGATTATGGTGGGCTCTCTATTGGTTGGGACTGGAACTTTAAGTAGTTCTATAATTAATAGTCTACTGACCTATTCAAGATTATCAGTAGCATAATATACATCAATTTTAATGTTTTAATGAGACTTAAGTTTCAGCTACATAAATTGGGAACCAATACTGCTTGGAAATAGGATAATATCCGCACTGAGACCTGAGCCAGAGATCACCCGCCTTCCGGCGTCACGGGCGTTACCCTTGCGGTGAGCAACATGATCCGCAGAAACAAACGAAAGCACCAGGCAAAAACTGGTTGTAGCAAATACCTGTGCGAGACAGAATCGAGAAAGTTTAGACGACAGAGAACTGGTCAGTCATTCACAGTTGGGCAGTAAAAATTGTGATTAATATCCCAACTAATATTATAAATGCGAAAGTAACTCTGTCTGTCTGTCTGTCTGTCTGTCTGTCTGTCTGTCTGTCTGTCTGTTACGCTTTCCCGCTTAAACCTCGCAACCGATTTTGATGAAATTTGGCATAGAGATAGTTTGAGTCCCGGGAAAGAACATAGGATAGTTTTTATCCCGGTTTTTGAAACAGGGACGCGCGCGATAAAGTTTTTCTGTGACAGACAAAATTCCACGCGGGCGAAGCCGCGGGCGGAAAGCTAGTGTTAAAATAAACACAAATGTTGCATTTCTACTCACTGAATCGGTGTCTGCTTATCCATGGAAGTTGCAGATATTTTTCACAGTCATTGTCATTGTGGAAGACATAAAGCTACCCAATAGTAAAAAGTTCTACGTCCAAAACTGCATTGAAGTCTATTGATTGATACATAATTATTTTTACACAAAATACACATAAGCGCACCTACATAACGTTATATTTTTAAATAAGTTTGTGTGATGGATTCAAATTCCGTTTAACTAGCTTGAACATGAATAACGTAGAGCGAAATTTGAGTTTGGTACGTATCACGGGAATTGCATCCGCGGACTGACAAGACGTTGAGCTGAGGCTGTCTCGGTAAGCTGTTAATATTGAAGGTACAGAGTACACAGGTGGAAATCTTAGCGAGGCAAGTGTCCGCCGCGAGCGCTGTGTTGATAAAGCGGCCTCTATGGTGAAACCGCCGTGAGAAAGTAAAAAGACGCAATCAGCGAGTGAAAAGCGCACGGGAACCGAGGTCGGGCACTGCCGCCTTAATAGACTACTTAAAAATTCAGGACCAAGGCCTGAATGACCCACTCGCACAGCTAAGATATCCTTTACATCTCGATGATTGTCTGACCTTACTAGAACATTAATATCGCAGGAATAATGTATTAAATATCAATATTCAGCTGAGAAACCAGTGTTTTTTTCTATCCAAGTACCAGTACCTTCGCAGCATTAATGGGAAGCGATTATTCATAATTTCATACATACATAATCAATTAAAAAGAACTATAAAATACATACCTGAGTTGGAATAATCAGTACAGCCAATGTTTTTGCAAATGCGTGTTTAAGTCATCTGAAACAATACACATTTCATGTATAAGTGGAAGCTGAGAATCACATTCAAGAACAGTCAAGACAGACGTTTTAACGTTTAGTTAATCAAGCTTAGAAGTTTAGTAATGTTAAAAGATGCTAAAAATTGGTACCTGAGACTGGTCGCAATCATTGTATTGAGTCAACTCACCGCGTGCAATCTGTGACTCATTGAGGCAACGACCGGGTGGTAGGTTCTACGGGCCAAATTGCTATTCTACAAGATAACGGCACGGAAGGACGGTGATTTTTAACTATATGAACTTCGTTGAAACGTCTATGGTTTCTACAACGAGTATACTTGATGCAAATCATTAAAAACTGACAACTTCCGTGACGATAAGAATAAAATGCACGGAGTTATGCGGTGTTAGTAGGTAGAACCACTAAATCCCGTACGTGCAGGAATTGACAAAATGAAACCTTACAATACAATACGGCGTACATAATAAAAAGGCGCATATAATAACACAGGTAAACTCTACGCACTCGCCGAGTTTCCAGTGTAACCTATGACAGACACACAAGACGGTGAATCTAATTAGATTGTAAGTCGCGTATCCATTCAATACGATCCATACTCCATGGCTTCTTATGGTAAATGACAATGGATATTATTGTTACACGGACACGACATGCACGACTCATTTAAGGTTGTAAAGACTATCGATTTTGCTCTATTCCGACTGCGGAAAATTTAGATTTCTTTACTAGTTTAGGAATAAATCGATACCAAATTTTTTTACTAATTTAGGTAGAGGTACATTTACGTCATGCGTTGATAGGTGTTCTAGGCTTCTGGGCCTATGAATTAAAAAGAAGATTAGAGATGGTAAACAAATGCGGAAATCGTGGGTTCGAATCCCACACTGGGGCACATGTTTGGGTGAAGAGATCAGTCAAAAAATTCAGTCGACTCTACATAGTCACCATATTACAAGTTTTGCTTAGTTTTGAGTTCGATAAACGTTGTGAATATTAATATGTAATTGAATTAGAAATTTCCATACCTTCCATACCATTTAATGGATGTTTCTACATTATTAGGGTATGAAAACAACGTCAAAATGATGAAAATTTCAGGCTCGCTTTATTTATTCATTCAATCATTTATGAAAATTTCATCATTTTGACGTTGTTTTCATACCCTAATAATGTAGAAATAAATAACTTTAAATAACTGGAACGAAAATACAATTCTCAACAAAGCAAAAACTTTCTGCAAACACAAGCATTACATTGTCGCGTGCGCGAACGCAACGAATGCACTACCGGAACGTATTGTCACTACACTGACTTGACACCTGACGCGGAGCAGAGGCTATGCGAATAGTAATACCCCGAAAGGGGCTAATATTTGTGCTAATATGAAGTAGGTCGGTTGATAAAAAATATTGAACGCGGTTCCAAATGAGGAACCGTGTGGCGTCTTACCACTCTATACTTCTTCTTTCTATGTGATGATATGTGATTTGGTATGACATACATATGGACCTCGAATGACTGTGGGAAATGTTTTGCGCATCCACTGGCCGTTGGGGACGACCCCTACCCACATAGGGTCTACTCAGTACCCACTAAAACCCAACGGTATCTACCGGAGCCTCTCAGGCTTTCTGGCTTCGACGGTTTCTACAGTTGCTTTTTATAGAGGTTTTCACCAGTACAACAGGAACCCTAGCCCGCCGTAGCGGGTTAGGGTTCCTCTATGCCGCTGCTCAGTCAGCTCTGCTGATCAGAGGAGTAGGCTGAGGCGCGCAAATGCCCCATCAGTCACCTGTACGGGTTTTTAAAGATATCCCCTGCATCGTGGGCTCGGGAAATGCTACTCAATTGTGGGTTACGGGTTGCCTGACAGGCCCGCCGAGTTGACGAGACCTGTAGACCTAGGATGCGCGCCGCGATAAGCGGTTATCACGCTATTTTGTCGATTTTGCCAATACATTGTGACGTCGAAAAGAATACTATAACTATATCACGGCGCTCATCCTAGCCCGGCTGCTGCGTTTAGGTTTCTGTCTGTGCCGGTAAACCAATACCTCTAATGACAGGGAGCGTTCCCCTATCCGCAACCCGGGTACGTGCCCTATGGAAAAGACCCAAAACTGCACACGGAAAGGTCGTAGCGCCTGACCTGATTCAAAGTACGACCTATTATGTACGCACGTCTACTCGCGGTTACACCACTACGAAGTACGAATATGTGTCAATGTATTTGGTTTCTTGTTTACGTCACATTAACACTAGCCCCCTTATTAATAAAAAGTTACACCTAAGATGAACTCTGGATTATACTTGTGGTTAACTTCAGTTACCACAATTTAACACTGCTTACTACGTGGAAATAAAGTCCAGGACCTTGTAAGGCGAATATACTTTGCTGTTAGTAGGCTATTTACCACCCCCTCCCCCTGATCTTAGTAAATTAATTTAGTAGGACAATCAAATCCACACTTAGCCTCTTGATTGGGCCATTGTTCGTATTGTAGCTGAGAATACTAAGGCCCAAAACACACGGTGTTCTGGGCCTAATTCATGAGCTATTCTATGCCCTGAAAAAGAACTAGATACGCCAATGGATATCTTATATCATTACTAGCTCTCCTAGCTCTCCGCCCGCGGCTTCACCCGCATGGAATTTTGTCTGCCACAGAAAAACTTTATCACGCGCGTCCCTGTTTCAAAAAAAGAGGTAAAAACTATCCTATGTCCTTTCCCGGGAATCAAACTATCTCTATGCCAAATTTCATCAAAATCGGTTCAGTGGTTTAGGCGTGAAAGCAAGACAGACAGACAGAGTTACTTTCGCATTTATAATATTAATAGATAGTATAGATAATATCATCTGGTCATTTCTGGTCTCCATGGAAGTAGCACAAAAATCTCTAATCGCACTAATATTATAAAGGCGAAAGTTTCTGAGTGTGTATGTTTGTTACTTCTTCACATCTAAGCAATATTAATAAAATTTGGTATGGAATACATAGGCTACGTTTTACTGTGGGTAACACCGTGGGGAACAGCTAGTTTATCACACTACTACACATAAATCTGACTTGTCTGTGATGGATGTACGTTCATACTGTTGATGAAAAAGTAATCACAATCATCAAAAAACTAAATCTAGTGAGTTTTAAGTTTCTAAACATAACAGTGGGCTAGGTTAGGTTAGATTGTAATCTATGATACGATAACAAATACCTGTTTATTTGTTTCGGGTGTTACTTCGCCAAAGTAACAAGAAAACACGCTTTAAACTTGTTGATTATCAATTTTTTTGGGATTATGTATGACGCAATCTACCAGTACCATGATAAATAAATACCCTCAAATCATATAGTGGCAAAACGGTTTACAGTTTGATAGTTTTTTTTTAAATTGTCTTACCAATAATTAGATAGAAAATGATCATTCAGACAGTTGACTTAAGTATAGACTTTAAAGACTAATAACTTAAAAATTACTTGTTTCTCCCAGATCTTTTTTGTTGCATAATATAATTTGGAATATTTACTTTGGGGTCATCCATAAAGTACGTCACACGTAAAGAGGGGGGGAGGGGGTCGACAAAGTGTGACATGGTGTGACAAAGGGTGGGAGGGGTCCTAAGTTTCGTGACATCACATTTCAATTGTTTCAAATATTTGATATAATGTTGATTTCATAAAAAAAGTACTTAATTTAAATGGAAATAAAACTAATATCGGAACTGCTGTTAATTTAATAATTTTTCGATGTGAAATTGCAAAACATGTGACGTCACACTAGGGAGGGGGGTGTCTCAGAAATGTGACCACCTGTGACAAGGACGGAGGGGAGGGTAAAAAAATCATTAAATTCGTGTGACGTACTTTATGGATGGCCCCTTTCAAAATTCATCAGATTAAATGCGGAAAGAACATATTTAGTTTTTCACCCTCGGTAACATTTGTCATGGAATGACCCATATTATGATAATTAATCAACCAATCATTGACTTTTCAAACATTTATTCAACAATATATTAAGTCCAGGATATGTAAAGATGTTAAATTATTGAGAACTAATACAATATTACAATATAATGCAGAAATTATTTTAGATTCCTTGATTTAACACTTCGGTGGACAGTACAGGTTAAGAATTACTTCCCAATACGACACTACTTATTCACATACATTGCCTATGTGAGTAGTGTCAATGTAAAATGAGTAAAAAATATGACGTCTTTAGGCATTCTGTCATATCATCCTTTACTACCTGAACGCCTGTGGACATTACTGTCCATCAATGTGTTAAGTGTATCTTTTGTTTTGGACATAGATCTACAAATATCTGATCTTCGAGGTTCTTTAGGTAAGGTTTTCACAAAAATAAATTCTGATCCAATATATAACCTAGCCAACCTAGGCCAAAATACATGAATTTTATGTCTTGATATGGACATTTGTCAGAATGGTGGTTAAATCTGTATATAAATTATTGAATAGTTTATAATCTCACTATTTACCTCTTTAGTAACAAATAACTAACTTTAATTAGATTTGTACTTAGCCATACTTCAAACAAGGAACTTAAATCAAACTTTGTTTTAAGTTTTTTACAAGCATATACTTAGTGGTTATGGGATGTGATGTTTTTCTACAGGTGGGCATCTTATTCAATGAATATTTTACTACAGTAAAACAAAAAACACATTCTGATTATTGTAGAACACAAAATACTTAGTTCAGCAGTGTGATGAAATGATTATTGGCAGAGCAGTAAGAAAAAAAACAATTTAGGGACAAACCTTGGTAAGAGTTAACGTCTTCATCCTGAAGAATTTTACATTAGCACGATACACTGGTTGTAAAGTCGTAGCAAATTCACTAATAAAAACGGCAGATGAAAAACATCTTCACATGTAAACTTTGAATTTGTCAAAAACTTGAAGGCACTAACGTTATCACATTTCAAAGTTCAGTAGAAGTTACACTAAGTCTGGAAGAGAAAATGAAACCACTGAAGAACATTAAGTAATAAAGCACAAAAACAAATAATTATCGCATGTGTCGGTATTTCAGCGAAAAGTAATCACAAAACACGAATGACGCAGACAAAAATAAACTTCATGAAACAAGTGTTGCACAGCGCAACACAACCACAAACGCGACGATGGCGTGCGTGTACGTACTCTTTCTTTAGTGATGTAAAGACATCATGTGATATTAAATTAGGTATTAAGTTATTTTAGCAAAGTGGTATTATTCATAAACATAATTCACATGTAATGGAGATTAAAACAGTGTGAGTCTTTCAGTCTTGATAAAGTGCACATATGAAAATAGGTGAAACTAGACCTATTTACCTAAATATCTGAGATTTAAAAAAAATATACAGGGTGTTAGGTAAATGGGTATATGAGCCGACACTAGCCCATGTTAACATGGTCATATAAATGGTATGGTGAAGTCAGAAATTTGATATCATGATTTTATTTTTTTTAATTTTCATACAAAATAAATTTTATAAAATCCGATTTGTATGAAAATTTAAATAATTTAAATGAAGATATACATTTTCTGACTTCACCATACCATTTATGTGACCATGTTAACATGGGCTAGTGTCGGCTCATATACCCATTTACCTAACACCCTGTATACAACGTGTTAATGAAAAAGCGCAAAACCAAATTATTTTTATTAAAAAAAGAATTATGTAAATTATTAAAATTAGTTGGTAATTAAAACGATAAACTTCCCTGCCCATATTTTGTCCCTATGTCAGACATAGATTCTCTAGTCCTCCACCTAGACATGTGCGATGTGGAAGTCATTGGGGGAGGCCTATGTTCAGCAGTGGACGTCCTGTGGCTGAAATGATGATGATGATGAGGAGGAGGTGCAAATTCGGTATCACGGTAATGTCGGTAATGGACGTACCTTCCTAGTATTTTCATTGTCACATGAGATATTTATTATAGCTAAAATCGAAGGTCGATTTCGAAGTTCAAGTGTTGGTTACACTACTTTTGACAGAAAATAATGACGTTTACTTTGTTTTGAAGAATTTTCTAACTTTACTCGAAGGCGCAGCTGCTCTCTGCTTACGTCTATGGTTCGTTTCTTCAACTATCTGTCAAAACGATACACCGCGATACGGATTTGTCAAAACAACTGATGTGCGTTCATCGTCCGGGCACATTGAAGATGAAAATTTTTAGCGTAATCGGGCCCTGGAAGTCTTTAAATAGACTTCAGATGCAGGTCGGTAGTAAGGACAATCTGTTCAAAAATAGTTTTAATACAATATAAACTTATTTTGGAACTTCGATTAACTAATAATTTATTATACAGTGTGTCCCGGCATGTAGTGATCAAACTTTAAGGGCGTAATCTATGGATAATTTTATCGATGAAAATACTTCATATTTGGGGCTTGACCCATTTCACGCAAATTTACAAGGATTTAAGTTTTTAATTTTAAGTTTTCACCTCTTCCTTCAAAAATAAGTGATAGCGTGGGTAGCTGAACACTAATAAGCAAAAATTTTATATCATGCGATAGCCAATAAAATTATCTATTAGTAGAAGTAAAAAACAAATACAAGTTTCATACATTTTAAGGGTGTAAGAATGGATTTAATTAGAAATAAACATGTTTTTATTCACTTCTTTTTCAGTTATTTCCCAACACAAGAAAAACCAGGTCGTTAAGGTATGTTTTATTTTCATTGTATTATTAGTATTTGAGCTATTCTACAAAACGAATGTAAATTTATTAGTCTACGTCTATTAGTTTCGACGTAATTGTTGAACAAAGATACCCCTTCCCAGCGGTTTCCATCGCGCACGCAACATGCAAAAATGCACTGCCTGAAAGAATCACACGACCTATTCCGATTACATACTAGCCGCGCTATGGAATAGCTGGGAAGGAGTATCTTTGTTCAACAATTACGTCGAAACTAATTGACGTAGACTAATAAATTTACATTCGTTTTGTAGAATAGTTCAAATACTAATAATACAATGCAAATAAAACATACCTTAACGACCTGGTTTTTCTTGTGTTGGAAAATAACTGAAAAAGAAGTGAAAAAAGTCATGTTTTTTTCTAATTAAATCCATTCTTACTTCCTTAAAATGTATGAAACTTGTGTCTGTTTTCTACTTTTACTAATAGATAATTTTACTGGCTATCGCATGATATAAAATATTTGCTTATTAATGTTAAGTTACCCACGTTTTCACTTGTTTTTAAAGTAAGAGGTGAAAACTAAAAATTAAAAACTTAAATCCTCGTAATTTTGCGAGAAATGGGTCAAGCACCAAATTTGAAGTATTTTCATCGATAAAATTGCCCATAGAATACGCCCTTAAAGTTTGATCACTACATGCCCGGACACACTGTATAAAATATGTTGTTTGTAATTATTTTATCAATAATAAAGTTTCAGTTTATTCCGAGTAAACTGTGACATCAACCATCATTTTGCTTAAATGACCATTGGTACTTTGTCCCCTTTTTTCGACATGCATAATAAAATTATACTCCTATAGTGATAATATCACAATATCATGTAGTATGTTGGAACAGTAGGTGGTATTTTAGTACGCTGCCCTCAACTCATGGACGCACTAGTATCACTTTGACATTTGCACAGATTAAAAAGAAAGAAAATATGTTTTGTTGACCAATCACCAGAGGGCGCTAGGTTACGCCATTAAAAAAACAATGCAACTGGACTGCAGCCCTGCAGCACAGATGAGAGTATGGACTGCAGCTACAGGCTCATAAATTGATTGGAGATAATTACAAATTAGCCTAAGGAGATCAATCTAAGCCCAATAGGGCACGCTCATTTTTGAACTCAGTAAATATGACATACCTAATCTGCTCTTGCCTTACGAGCTTACGAGCAATTACTCTGCAAGCCTACAATGAAAAAAAAATTTGTACATAATCACTTTTGCGTAGGTATAGACATTTCCAGTTCTGTAAGAACTTTTAAACAAAATAATCTAACTAATTCAAGTAAAACACGTATTGTAACTTCCGGTTGTAAGTTCTGCTTCTAATATTTTGTATATATTGTAAGTAATTTAAGCGTCATTCAATTAAAAAAAAAAGTGAAAAAATATATATTTATATAATATTCAACACAAATAGTTCTAATGTTATTTTAGAACTAATTAAAATTGTAACTTCCGGGCACTAGGTCCATTTCCATTTCCGCCATTTTTGCAACGAACGAATTTGCGGAATAGCTTGTTACATCTTAAATTAGAATCTACTGTAGTAAATTCTAAAGATAAGAAAATTGTATTGTATTGTGATTTGTGAGTTCCTGAGTTTATGTTTGAACTTTTTTGACGCACTAAACTAACGCCTACCACTTACCAGTAAGTAGGTTGACCGAGGCCTAGACACGTGTGAAGCCGCTACTTTTAAGTGCGATAAATACTATTTGCTTAAGTTATGTAAGTTACCTACTTAATTAGTTAATTTATAAGTGCTTTTTTATTAACATTACTCACCAAAACCATGTTATGTAGTGTTATGAAGATGGTTAGCAATGTTTAGTAAAGTTCATTGTGTCGTCGAATTCGCCACGGATGGTTTAGATTTAGGCAGTTAGGTACATGGTGGCCCAGAAGAAAGTTCACTTTTGAAAATTCAAGGAAACGAAAACTGTACTTTTTTGTAGAACTTTAACTATTGCAATTTAAAGGAAATTTAGTGCCAAGTGCTCTTATGTGCCAAGTTCTAGACTTTCTTATCTATCTTAGTTTTCTTTCAATGATTATAACGCGAAGTCGGGAACGATTGCACGGGGAAACCCTGACGGCAGCACTGTACTGGCCGCAGGTGGGATATAGCTACTTTTTGTGCAAATTATTTTTTACCCGACTGCACCAGAAGGAGGGTTATTAAAATTACATAGTACTTACAAGTTACTACTCCCTATTTAAACCCCGACTATCATGAGATTAAGCGAATCATACGATCTGCCAGGGGTATCATTTCATAATGAGGATCATTACTGTTATAGAAAATTCAATAAATCATACCAAACTTCTGGCCGAGGGGGGAGTCAGTTTTTATATTTTACTTGGAAGAAGATATGACTCTAACAACACTTATGAACACTTTATTTGAATAAATCGCCAAATATACCACCGCGGAGACCCCAATCGCGTTTCCGCGTTCCATTGAATCGTATGAGCGTATGGATTTAAAATGCGACATTTTTCACAATTTCTATTTTAAAAAAATACCTATCGATAGCTTACTTTATTCTGATGAATAAATGTCATTACAAGTTTTTCTCTAAAACTGATAGTTTAGCTAGAAAAAAATATCTTCTATCCACGCAGTACGCCGGCAGCGTTCGGATCCGATATAGTGACGTCATCGTTCCCGCGCGCGCCGGGCGGTCAGCGAACTTTTTTAGTAATTTGGCCATAACTTCGTCAATTTTAGTCGTAGAACAAAAATTTTTGGACTGTATATTAAGGATTTCTTAGCCCTATAAATCTGCATTCACAGCTTAAAATCAAAATGATCCTCATTACCTATGTAATTAATTATAATTAAATAGGTAATTATGAAATGATACCCCTGGCAGACCTTACCAATAGATAACACTAACGTCGGCTTACGGATTTTGATGAAACTAGAATCACAGATGAGAGAGTATTAGATTGTTATAGAATTTTAATAGCTTTAAGATTAATTTTATATTTATTTTTGGGAAACATACAGTTCGTATAACATGACGTAGTTGAGTACCTAGCCTATTTTATATCAAACTAACTAGGTACTATTCCCAACCCTCTTTCCCACCGCTGCAACTCCTGTGTAGCCTGAGCCCCGATTACGGTAACTTTTAACGTTTACAATCCAGACGCGTTTCTGATTCTGCAATACGATTGGTCAAAACAGCTGACGTACGCTGTTGAACGACCAATCGTATCGCAGAATCGAGAAGCGTGTCTGGATTGTTGACGTTAAAAATTACCGTAATCGGGGCTCAGGATCTACAGATTGACCGCCAATAAAAACCCAATCAGTGAAGGTCAAGTTTGTCCCGGGGGAAAGTCAGAGCATAGCTTACCTCCATCCGCGTCATATCGAATTAAAAATGATCGAACGTTTAAAACATTTTTAGGAAGGTGGAGGTAAGGATTCCTTGTTGACTAATGGTAACCCAGTAAAAAAAAAAATGTGTTTGTAAATTATGTTTTATTTACATTAATCATATTTTATGAAATTTAATTAAAACCTCTTCATTTTCGATCATTTTTTTTCGATATGGCAGAAGTAGGCCCATAATTAGGTATATTCAAGTCATAAAAGAAAACCACGGAAAATAAACCATTTCGAAGTCCGATGTAAAAGGTTGATGACCACTGAAATACGCGTAGCACGCATGCGTCGCTTACCTTACCTAATAAGAGCTAAACTTGCACCTTGCAAGGATGACATATAGGTATAGTTTGTCCCTTATCCCTATCGACTCACCGCTCTAATCCATATCTGTGACCCACCCAATGGAATGGAATGATCAACAGCAAACTGTTGTTGCAAAACCGTAAAAAATTAACGGTTTTTTATATTCCGTTACATTTCTAGCAGTAAAAAAACAGTTTTGAAGTAGAACCCCACTCTACGCCCTTTTCACCCTTTTTCGCGATGGAAATTATGTTTACCGCAGAAAAATATACACAGAATTTCATAGATTTATTTATATTTCTCTAAAATTTTACATTCACGCACATACACACAGTAAATGTCATTTCGAAACAATTTTCAGTCTGTTCCAAATACAAAAAAAAAATACAAAATGGCACTACCATACCACTACTACAATGATAATAATAGGGAACAGCAATTTTCTAGATCTTCAAATTTACAATAATGATTCAACCATTTCCAAATGTAAAATTTTTGACCTTATGATACTTACGAGTAAGGGAATAAAAATAATATAATAAATCAAAATGAAAATATTTATTATAGAAAATAATACTTGACTGAACGTCAAAAATTGTAAATCTACATACTGTATTGAATCAATTCTTAGTATAAATCAAGAGATTACAAAATACCTATTAGAATAAATCTACAAAAAAGAATCTTACAAATTATTTCTTAAAGTTGTACGTGTCTAGGGAGAGCTAAGTCTGACCAACATTTAATCATGCAAGAACTTTTGTAACATCAAATAAATGCCATTAAATCACACAGATACACTTCTTCTTATATAACTAGGTATGTTGTGTATTATATTCTGAATCTTTTCTCACATGAGTAAAGTTTGGATAGACAATCTTGGTTGAGAATTTTGTAGTGTCAAGATAACCCCTTGTGTTATTATCAGTGTTTAAACTGCTTCGTGCCAACTTTTACATAAATGTAAACATCTACAACCAAATTAATGTGGTTATAAAAACAGTAAGAGTTATCATGACAAACAAATTACACTAAAATGTGTGTAATGTGTCAGAAAATAAAACACATTTTACTGGTCAGAGCCTTCATCTTCTTCATCATCCTCTTGTTCTTCGTCCGAAGAGGCTGCATCCTTCTTGGGGGGCGCGGCGTCCTTGCGCGGTCTGCCGCGGCCTCTGCCTTCAACAGGTGCGCTCTGTGAAAAAAAATACAGTAAAACACTGAACATTCAAATAAAATGTTCGAAACATTATTCAGATCTAATTGTAGTATCAGTAGTACCTTTGCCTTGGATGCAGCTTTTTTCTTAGAACCCTTAGGTCTGCCTCGCCCTCTTTTCGCTACCGGTGCCTGCTCATCATCAGATGACTTCGTAGATTCCTTGACCTTAGCAGGTGCTGGTGTTCGGCCTCGCTTTTTAGTATCTCCTTTAGCTTCCTGAAGAAAAAAAATTCAACATGAATTTAATATTTAATTCATTACAACTAATCAATAACAGTATTGTTTTACATGTAAATACATACAGCTTGTGTTCCATTTGGTTTAGGTCTTCCACGCCCCTTCTTCTCAACAGTTGTTGATCCATCATCAGACATTTCAGTCAGTTATTATTATCTAATTAGGAAAAATCTGAAAAAGAATTTTATTTTTATGTCCATGTAAGTGAAAGTATGTACCTACTACTGCTATGTACATTCAAACACAACTCCTTTACTGATTAATATCAGAGTACATAAAGTACAGTATGAACAAGAAATGATGCTTCAGGAAGTGGACTTTATATAAAAACAAATATGTAAAAAAACGAACAGAGCAGCAACTACATAATTAAAGCTGCATAAATTCAGTCACGTATTTATTCATTGCGCAGCAAGCACTTACAAAGAAAAGAATGAAGGAAATGTCAACAACCGCGTAAAGACGCCAAGCCACAGGGTAAACTAATTATGGAGTTTAGTGGTAAAGTCAGTAATGTAACGAAAATATTGTCATACACAAATTATCCAATTCACTTGATTCCTAAATTTCACAGCAAAAACATCAACACCCTGGCTTATTGATGACTATCAAGAGAAGTAATTTTACGAGGAGGGACCAAGCCAATATAATGGAGTCCGCTTAGATTAGAGTAAATACGAATAGTTAACGCGTATTGGATTCACTTTTATAATGATTAAAACTGACTGAACGATGGCAAAAATATATGAAATAATTATATTGATTAACACTGGTTTTAGTTAGAATAAAATTAATACTCACAAATTGTTTACAGCGGCGTACGCTATCGCTATGTCCAAAGAAATTATTATGGCGGGTGGCGGCGGGCGGCTAAACGAACAAGCGTTGTTTGGCGTCTTTGTAGAGGGCGCCAAGAGTCAAGTGTAACAAAGTGCAAAATGTATGTAGAGCTAAATAGAGTTAATTGCTAGTGATAAATTAAGGGAAATAATAGTTTTTAGTAGCAAATATTTAGTAAATTTAGTTGGTTTTTTAAATTAAGTCTCTAAATAATATATTTTTTAACTAATGTACCTGTTTCAAACTTTGGCGCCTATCCATCGCATCTTAGAATTGCCATTTTCAAAATAAAAAACTGACACCACTCTATTGTTACATTAAAATTTAATTATACATTTTTAATGTTGAAATCAAAATTTCTCAAAATAAAACTGATTAAAATAGTTAACGTGAGACAGAACGAACCAAATATACATAAACAACATTATAAAAATAAGCAATCAAAATAACTCTATTTTTTGCAAAGAAAAAGTAAAATGTCGCTGTCAAACGAAATATAAAACAAACAAAAAAGAACTAGGACGAACGAACAAAAAATTAATTAATAAAATCTAAAATCCTCATCAAACAGAAACAAAATTGCTGATCCATTTAAAAATAAAAAGGTTGCGCTACGTTGTAGTGTTGCGAGTACGTACTTGTATCTAGTGATTGTACTTCATGAACAAAATGAAATGTAAACTTAATCATCAAAGTTCAAGAAAATGTAGAACCATTTTTAGGTTATGGATTGATTCAGGTATTATACCACCATCGCTTAATTATGTTTGATTCGTTTATAAAACATACCTATCTAACTAATGATGAATCGACCTGTAGAACCAAATAAAGAAGACTGTTGCAATAGTGGATGTAATCCATGTATATTCGACGTTTATGAAAAACAATTGTTATTGTTTAAGAAATATCAAGAAGGTGACAATATTTCAGAATCACTTTTGGTCAATGCTATATCTCAATTAAATTATACTCAGTTTAAGCTTGTGGATAATACTGAATTATGCGAAGCTCACAAACGCCTTAGTTTTAAACTATCATCGCCCGAAAATAATTTTAAGGTTGTATGGAAACCTGGGGACCACTTTCTTTTTAAATATACAGAAGAAGAAAATCCTTCATGTACTCGAGCTTTCACTCCTCTAAAAGAAAAAAATAATACTGAAATAGATTTTTTTATTATAGTTAAAAGGTATGACAAAGGAGTGGTTTCAAATTATCTCTACAATTTAAAACCAGGACAAGAAACTCTATGGCGTGGTCCATACGGTGCCTATGAGATCATACAAAATAAGTTTAACAGAATTTTTATGATAGCTCAAGGTACTGGTATAACACCATTTATGTCTATCATAGAAAATATTATAGAAAACGAAGATGATATGACCAAACTCATTTTATTATATTGTTGTCACAACGTTAATTCAATTCCATTGAGAAATGAATTGTATTCCATGAAATGCTATTGGAATTTTAGTTATACGATTTTCTTGGGTGAAAGTAATTATAATGAAATTTACAAGTACCAAGAACCTATAATAAATCATAAATTGAGGCCAGATGACTTTCTTCAATTTGTTCCTTTTAGTGAGAATGATCAGTTTCTCTTGTGTGGATCCACAAATTTTATGGACTATTATAAGTTGTGGTTAAAAACTCAAGAAGTGAATAATGTGTTTATATTTTGACTTTTTACGTTTCATTTATTTATTATTGTACTATGAACAACTCACAATCTCGTCAAGCTGCCCTCCCTTGCCCCCCTGGGCACGCACATGAGAGAAGAAAACACCATAATGTGAATCAAAGAACAATATCGATTGAGAAGAGCTATATTTTAGAAGAATTGGAAAGACAGTAATTAAATGAATTTAGTATACTTTTGTTTATTTTTTCCATCTTCAACAAATCCATTTTCCCAATTGGCTTTTTATAGATTTCAATCACCGCACCGTCTTTTGAATTAATCAACGGAGTGTAAATTAAAAATTTATTGTAAGTATTATTTAGCAAGATGGCAATGGGAATCTAAACTAAAAATAATATTTTTATCATTAAAATCGAGAAACGCCGTGAATATTTTTAAAGACGATGAAGTCGAAGAATATTTAAAAAATTTTTAGACTCGAATTTGTGGAAAATCAAATATCCTAATAAACATGTCAATACGCGTTTCGGTCAGAAGTTTAGTAATCATTAATGGAAATTACGACTATCAATAGGTGTAAAATTCGTCTCAATGAAATAATTCAAAACTCCCGCGACCACGAGTGCGCGACTTCAAGCATAGACCAAAAACAGCAGCAGAGCTTAAGTGGAACGGTATCATAACCCGTGATGTTAACGATATTTTCACAAAATTCTGAAGGAATATTCGCAGGTTTTAGGGATTAGCTTTAATTCAACAAAGTAGGCATACATATTTGCAATTATTTTTCTGAGAAAACTTAAAAAAAAAACACTTTTTATTTTCACATTATAATTATTTGCAGTGGCAACACAATTTCAGTCGGTATGGATTTTTTCGCGCCGGCGCGAAACGTGTGCAAGATTTCTATGAACCCAATTTCCTGAAATTGATTTACAATATTTTTTACATTTTGTAACAAATATGATTATACATGTAATTATCTTACATAAATATCATGTTTGTCGGAGAGAATAAATGTGTGATGATGATAATTACGTAAAGTTCGTCTATGATAGGAAATATAAATGTTTTAAGTGTATAGTGTCGTCCAAATTACGTTTGTAAAATGGGCTCTATCGTGCTAAAAAGTTTATCTATCCTTTTGGGGGTGTTCTTCATATTCGTCGGTATAACAAAGTTGACTCCATTTATATCAAAGGAATTACACAAAGACTTAGTAAGTATAAAATATTTTTAATGTTTACAATAATTTTATTAGTTATTGAAAGGTCGCTAGGTGCATGCATCGAGTTTTTTTGTTGCGGAGCAATGTAGCTTGCTATTTTAGTACTTGGCGTGGCGCCTAATACCACCGCGGAGTCGCCTCGTTGCGACAGTGAGACGCGACGCGACTCCCCTGCGAGGCTACGGGCAACAGTGGTGCCCGCTAGCCTTCAGCAAACACAACGCAATGATTGATACCCTTTCGCCCCAGCCTGCATCTGATCAAAAGCTGAAGGATATAAAAATAACCCTTGACCCTACGTTAAAATTACTTTTGTTTTATGGACCGTGATTTTACTGAATATTTAATTTTCTTGGTCGCAGAAAGTAAATTCGAATGCTACCGCTCACGTTATTGACAGCTCTTTAACAGTTCGAAATTAGATTTGAATTTGTGTTCCATTTTTTTTTTTGTTATTTCTTTAATTAGAGCGTGTTTTATTTTGTTTGACTCGGGCGCGCGTATCCCTACAGAAGGGTGCGCGACAAGATAATTTACCTACTACCACTGACATTGTTGAGGCACAGATGTTGAGGTAATCGCTAGCGATTAGCTTTCGCGTACGAGTACGACACGCACGGACCCGCGCCCACCCGGTGGCAAAGAAATTGATTTATTTCCGACAAGGAACGACGACGGAGGGCCGTCACATTAGTTTACAAAATCAACTTCTTTTTTGGAGCTGTAAAGAAAAACCTTACTTTGCTAAAAAAAACTTTTTTTACTTTCGGAGTCGCCTTGAAGAAGAGGGAATAGTAACCCTGAGCCAGAGTCCGAGAGGTGATTTACATAATATGGATGGATCACCATTTTATCATAAACTACACACACCGGCAGATTTAGCGGAACGCAAAAAAAAGTATGAAAATAAGGAAAATTACTACTGATCTATGAAATATTTATTATACAAAATAAAGAGATAATTAAAATAAAATAAAATAACATATATTTTTTAAATATTTAGTCGTTTTTATTTAATAAAAAATCATCGAAACGAAATTTCAATTTTTCAGTTTTGAACAAAAATTAGAAATTGTGGCCAGATTAAAAATTAGGGTAGCTTATCACTATCCAAATGAATGAATTAATGATGGGTATTTCCCCCTCTTGCTCTGATGATGGTTTCCATTCATCTGAGCATGCTGCAGTTAATGATATGAAGGGTATTTTGGGGCAATGTCTGCCATTCCTCTAGTAACGCGTTTCTCAACACCACCGGTGGTATTCTGAGTTTAACACATCTTTTAAGAAAGTCCAAGACATGCTCTATAGGATTCTTGTCTAGGGATCTTGCCAGCCACTGCATCATGGGTATATCCAAATGGTTTAGATGTGCCTGTACTGAGCGAGCACTGTGAAAACGAACATTATCGTGAATTAAACTAAAGGAGTCCACAATAAATGGAGTAAATGGCACATCATGTTCTTCTAAAATGTTCCTAGTGTACCATTCAGAAGTCGTATTTCCTCCATCACCCACCACTAACTCCGTGCGAGCTCCCAAAAAAATCCTTCCCCACACCAGAATTAAGCTACCTCCATAAACCACGATATTTTCAAAATTAAGACTAAATGTTACGTTCTCTTTGTGTCTCCATATTCGCTATCTTCCATCGATCTGGTTTAAGAGAACTCTGCACTCATAAGTGAAGAGATCATGCCTCCAGTCGTTCAAGACCCAATCACGATATTCACGTGAAAAGTTCAATATGTTTTTTCGGTGCTGTGTCACAAGTTGGAGCTTTCTCGGGTATGCACGACCCTATACCAACTTCAGTAAATCTCCTGTGAACTGTGGGCTCAGTCACTCTTACTCCTCGAGTGTCTTTAAGGTTATTTCTGGCTTGAACAGCAGGTAACCGCGACTTTCTGAAAACTCGAAGTTGTAAAAAACGGTCATCCCGTCGCGAAGTACGCCTTTTTCTGACTTGAACCCTCCTCCTAACGACAGAAATGATCAATCTGTACCGTTGGTTACTGCCATGGGTGGTCGATACTGATCAACGACGTCTTACGGCAGCCGATTTGTATGCATGGCCGTTACTTCTCATTTCATCTGCCTTAATGATTTCTGACGGTGCTAAGCTGGGCATAATAAACCCTTATAAGTAACTGAATGCTTACACAACAAAATTCTCAGAAAAAAACATCTTTCACGTAAAAGAAATCCAAATTAGCAAAAGCTTCATTCAATTCAAAACACTCAACGAAACTGTTGATGGGGTAATTTAAACAAAATAATTAAAAAAATATACTGTTGGCAATTATTTTTTTCATATTTAGAATTAAATTAAAAAATAATGTCATAATTAGGCATTTTTTTCCTAAAATAATGATGATATTGATGCTTTTTTTTCCGTTCCTCTAAATCTGCCGGTGTGTGTAGCTGACTCGGCGAACTTTTAAATAAATTAAACAAACAAATAAATTGAACGTTTAAATTTTAAATATTGGAAACTAATTCCTAGGTAATTCATTATGATACCTAAGTACGCATTAGGAAATTATTCTTCAGGAGCGCGAATGAATTATAATTTATTGCGAGTTGCGGAAAAAAATTTGAAAAAAGAACAATCTGGAAATGATTCGGAGGGGCTATATCCAGCAGTGCATGTCATATCATAGGACTCCTATGAGTCATAGGCTATGACTAATGTGGATAAAAAAAGAACATCATAAATAACAAACTAAATAAATTTCAATAGCGTGCCCGAATCAAACCTAGTACCTTAGGCTATAAACAATTAGGCCAGCCGAATAGTAAATGTAACAAAGTAACGAGCTTTACATGACTTTTATGTGTGCCAAGACTGCCAATTTAAAAGCGTAGAGGAAACGCGTACTAGTATTATGATTCTATACGATCAGAGGTTCTGAAAACCAACAAAATAGAACAGAGATGGAATAATAGATCATGTTCTAATAATTTGCAATCCATGGAGCATTTTGAGCCTGCTTAATTTAGCACTCTATTAATTTTCGTAAGCCATTAACTTCAAAATGCAAGTAAATGAAGAATGTTAACTGTGTTGTCCATATTTCAGAGAAAAGAATATGTAAGATATGCCAAAGTGTTTCCTCTAACGGAGACGCTGGACTTCAAGTTGCCGTCAAAATGGTACCGGAGGACAGTGGGCGCTCTCGAGATAATTTTTGGATTAATTCTAGCAATCATTCCCAGCCGTAAGTATAAATTTAAATTAATGCCTTACATCAGATTATTTAAATATTTTTACTCTATTTTTTTTTCAATATTACAGGGTGAAAGCGATAAGTGATCTCACTCGATTATTTCTAAACTATACAAGATATCGAAAAACTGCTTATTGATCCTGAAAGTGCTTCACGAGCTCTTTTAAACGGTATTAATAATAGATGACAAGAAATTAGATCTATCCGAAAATTCGATGTTTCCAGCTTCCATACTAAATGTATGCCATGCACACATTTTAGAAGTGTTAAAAAAATTAATTAAGTAATGAACTCTTAAAATAAACTCGTAAATTGCATTCTTATTTCAATTTATTCATGGAAAACATTGGTTTTAGGCTTTGCTTGCTATAATATTATCAAGAGATGAGTGACATGACTGAGGATGTACTAAATGTGTGGAAACTGAAAATATTGAATTTTTTGATAGACCCTGTTTAATCTGCAATTAATTATTGATACCGTTGGATAGAGCTCGTGAAGCACTTTCAGGATCAGTAACCAGTTTGTCGATATCTTGTATAGTTTTTAATGTTACGTGGATACATCCAATTTGTTTTGTAACCTATTATTGATACCGTTCGATAGAGCTCATAAAGCACTTTCAGGATCAGTAACCAGTTTTTGGATATCTTGTATGTATAGTTTAGAAATTAACGAGTGAGATCACTTATCGTTTCCACCCTGTATATACCCCTTATTCAAATTACTCCAAGTTAACCATTATATTGCTCTACCATTCTATAAAACAATCAGGTTATTGTTGTAGTACTTACCTACCTACTAATTGATGCGGGATTCAAACCCACAACCTTTGGGTTCCAAATTCGGAGCGTAAACCATGGGGCCAAAAGAACATTACAAATTCTAGTCATATACCCTTCTCTCAATACTCAATTGCTCACTGGATTACCTCTGAATTCTTGTATCAATCGGCAGCGGCTTACTTACGCCTATGCTGGACCATGTCTGTCAAATATCAATCAGTCTGCAGGTAGGTATTCCACAACTGTGTATTTCTTCCCATCGATATTAGGCAATGTTCACTTGTGTTTGTATTTCAATGTTTTAGACAAACTAAAGAATGCTGCGAACATAGGACTGGTGACGCTGATGATCCTGGCTGCTTACTCGCATATCATGGTGGGGGATCCATTCGACAGATGCGCACCAGCTCTGGTATTCTTCTTCATGCTAAGCGGAAGATTGGTCGTTTGGTAAATCTCATTTTATTTTCTTAATTTCTTTAATTTGTTTATCCAAAGTAGCTCAATTTCAAATGTATTTTTGTCTCTTCCATTTAAATCTTTCCTTTCCCAAACACTATCCGGGGCTTTTTAAGGCAAGAGTGAATAAGGACTTATAGGGCAGATATGTACCCCTTGGCAGCATCTCACTTCAGGTGCGATTGCGGTCAAACACCTGCCTTGTTCTGCATAAAAAAAATATTCTCAGTGATGTAGTTCTAAATAAGCATAATTCAAATCTGACAAAGCTTTTGGCAACAAACCTGACAAGTTATGTTATAAACAATTTACTGTTTTCGTGGGTAGATTTGACGTTAAAGTTGCGCTGAATTTTCTGTATGCTTATGTTTCACCCAACAACGTAACGTAACGATTGAAATATTGGCAATAATATGATAAACACGATTCAAGGACATCATTGAATTCTATGATTATTGATTTTACTAGCATAGATTGTAGGGTAAAGTGGGGCACAATGTTACACGGGGTACAATGTTACAATGCATAATTTTCTCCGTCCCTTTCTATTAGTTGTATGATGTTGGTATACACGTTTGTCAAGCTCATAAGAGCTGCTGAACTGAGCCGCTGAACATCATACAACTATAGAAAGGGACGGCGAAATATGCATTGTAACATTGTACCCCGTGTAACACTGTGCCCCACCTTACCCTAATATCTTCCCAAGGTCCTCAAATCCATAACACACAGGGTTAATGCTAAAAAATAGCCTCAAACTAAGTAAAGGTTGAATACGATTAGTGCTATGGCGACTAAATATAAATACTCGTAAATAGTGTCTTTAGATGACCCTTAAAACATGTTATGCTGCCACTGAAACTGAGGCAACTCATAATAAAATATTAAAATAAGTATGAATGCAATAAAATGGGTATTAATAAAAAATCGTAGGTGCGGAACTGCGGAATATAGAAGTCTCGATGTTGACTCAATGAAATCATTGAAAACTTAGTAGGATTAGGATGGATATCTTAAATGAATGAGGAATGTAAAGAATTTAAGATTAATACACCGACAATAAAGGTAATCCATCATTTTACCTTGACCAATTTCTTTACTATGTAAACAGTGGTTACGACATAAATTCAGTAGTATCTCGTGGTCGAACGCTGTTCTGGCTTACAGCCAGGAATCCGCGGTGAGTCGTCTACACTCTTGTCGCGCGAATAAAAGCGCACGGCTGATTTGGATATTACGAGCTATTCATTGCCGAAGTTTAATAGATTCGCTAACCGTGATTTTCATTGCCACTTTCAATTTTATTCAGGGTAGGTAGGACTCAATTAGAACTAAAAAACCTGACACCGAAATGGTGACTTGTTCAAGAGCAGTTGATGTAATATTTAAAATTTATTTTCATAGGTACCAGACCAGCCGCCGTGAAGAGCTGGAGAGAGCAGCTGCAACTCAGAACGGGAATGGGCTCAAAAGGGAATAATTTTAATAATATTATGTTACTATCGTTCTGTAGCTGGATATTTATTTAATTTTTCGTAGGAAAATATTTTGAATCGCACTTATTTACAATGTTGATTTATTTACTTTCATGTAAATATACAATATTGTCGCTGATGTCATGACAAAATATTTACACCTACTAACACAATGGCTAAAGACATGTTTCATACATGAAAAGTTATTTTTATTTAGTACTAATCAGCTGTATGTTGCAGCCAACATGAAATTAAACAGGGTTTTGAACTTTATTTAGTTAAATCCTTTTGAATTATTTTAAATTTATCCATCACCTTACTGTGATTATCCTAGTCAAATCATGTTAACTTCTTTCTAGTCAGTATGCGTAGTTCAAACTTGATTATAATGTCGAGCATCTGGTAAGCTATAATTAGAATACCACAAAAATACCATTTAGACACCAACTAGGCGTAGCCCGACCGGAGCGCGCGAATAAATATTTTGTACCCAAAGTGATATTAATTTAAGCGACTTGTGCTAGGTTCATTTTGTATAACTATGTAGACGTGGTGTCTAACGTAAATAATTTGTATTGTAGGTTTATAAGTAACTGCCACTGCTTAAAATAAATATGTGTACTAGTAATTTATCTATATTAATACTTATCACGACATTGGTCACTGAATATAAATATTGTTTGCTCAATAATAAAAATATAAAATTTATCATGACAATGCTTTTTAATTTATAGATTGAACAGATACTAGCGAATAAGCTTCTATTTATAATAAAGTAGGTAGACCATCAATGGCTTCCCCAAAATATTAGATTGCGATAACAAAGTGGTCAACATTATCCAAATCATAATTAAAATACCGTTTGCTACTTTTATTAAAATTAACTTTTGATGCAAGTATTTCATAAACGTCATGTAACAACTTCCGAATGAGGCTATTAATTCCGCAAAACACAGATGCGTGAAACTGTGTTTGCCTTTGTGTAATTTTTATCTCATTGTTTATGTGGTGTGTGAATTAATGTGTTTGCCGAATGTTGTGTGATGGTCATTGAATAAAATATGAGAGGTACATTTTATTATATTGTTTTATTTTAGTAATAATAATACATATAATTTAATCGATTTTTTACTTACAACATAAATATTTTCATTAAATATATTTATATCACAGCAAACCAGTATATTTTGTTGCAGCAGGTATGATTAATGTACTTATACTATTATAAATAAATAAAATAATAACATTATTTTCATACTTTTCTATTAATTTTGTGACGCCCACTAAAAACACATCATATTTCCATAAAAAAAATATAGATCTGTCTATCTTACTTAAATATAATAATAATAAATGAGTGTTTGCGTTTTTATACATAATATTATAAATAATGACTTATAAATAATAGAATAGATCTTTTTTAGGCCTATAATGGTTTGCTGTATGTAGAGTTTATAACACTTTTTCAGTCATATTTGCTTACATCTTTCTGGAACTTTTTAGATCTATGCAAGTTGAATAGTATTTACTGAGACTGATAGTTATACATATAAGCCTTAGTAAATTGAATGGGACCGAATGTAAGCCTTTTTTGCATGTCTGCATGGCGGTTACCATGCACAATATTTTAATAACTTCAAGCAACAAGAAAAGGCTGGTGTACTAACGGACAGTGTACATTACAGATAAACATTGAAATCTGCAACATATTTTACAAAAAATATTTAAATTTTAAAGTTTAGTGTAAATAATGCTTATGATACATTTAAATAATAATTAATTGATTACCAACCTGATCTTATAAATCTCACACTTTTAAGCAGGGTCTCGTCCTGTTTGGAGCAACTCCAGAGCATTCCTGAGGTTGCCGATTGCAGTTTTGACGTCGTCGTAGTTGAGAGCGCTGCTGGCCCACTTGCAGTACTTCTGAGCTTTAGCAATTTGGTCAGGAGTGAGCTGAGCTACAGCAGTTGAGTTGTCACCGTAGACGGTTGACGGCTGTTGCGGCTGCTGCGAGGGGTCATAGGGCACGAACCCCCCAGGGTTGGGATCAGGAGTGTATGGTACTGGTGGTAACTGAGAAGCAGCTCTCATAGCAGCGTTAGGGTCTGGTAGAGAATTGCTGAAGCTAGTAGGTATTGTGGGGAGGACAGTTGGAGGAGTAGCTGGTGTGACAGCTGTGAAGCCAGATACTTGAGGGGAATCGGAGGGAGCTTGCTGGCTGTCGCTGGTGGTATTCTGATCATTTTGGTCACCTTCGGTGGGCATTGGACCTATAAAATGAAATCGATTACATGCCAGAATATCAATATTAAAAACATCAATGCAATCAAGGGGATACCATGTATTTAAAAATTAAATTTGAAAACCGGCTTAGTGGATTTTTTTTGTAAAAATAATGTTTTGTTTGGACTTCAGATTATCAAAAAAGTACAATGTGCTGTCACTGCATATACCTGGAACAGGGGTCTCTCCATTTTTAAGGCAGTTGTGGATGTACGCAGCTTTCCATTTGGCATATTTCCTGTTTTGTGTCGCTTCATCTGTTAGATCTCCAAAAGTACACAGGACATCATATATCATTCCGGCAGTGTAAAATGCTTTGACAACATTCCTGAAAACCATAAATTATGTATTGTAGTAACTATAACATTCAATTAAAATATTTGAAACATGTTAAAGATTGACAAATCTCTTTTATTTTTTCATAACATTTTCTTGTGACCTTGTGTAACCTTTTAAGTTAAAGTAGGCTTATGGAATTCTTCTTATTGTAGAAATGTAAAATGCTTACTTTCCATAGTTCTGCTCTCTATCTTGTTTGTCTGCATATAAAAACAACTTCAATGCATAATTTTCCAGGTGTGCTTGTGCTGCCACTTCATTGGACACAGCTTCATTATCTTTGTGAGTAGTTTTTGCTTCCTCTAACCAGTCCATTATTGCTAACAGGATAAAGATACGAATTGTTAATGATATAAAATAAAATTTACTGTTCGATCAAAGACTAAGCTTTTGTACACTTACCCATTAGAACTTTCGTTTCCTCCGGTGTTTTCTTTGTAGTAATTTTCAAGCCAACTTGCAAAGCATGCAGTCTACACCAATAAGCCACAACTGGGTCTCTAGCATCATGTTCTGCAGCAGTCTTAAGATAGTGCTGAATGGATTTTAGACTAGGAGGACAATCCGGAATATTAACAGGCATTTTTGGATTTGTTATTCCCAAAATTTTCCTTTTAAACCTTCAGTTTCCCACGATTATGGCAAGGTATTTGAGGAGCTCGTAACTAGAAAAACACAAATACTATTATAAGCAGAGCAAAATTTGTTTTTTTGTGAAATTAGTAAACGAAAATACGACGAAGATGATGATCTAATTCAGTGACACTTGACAGCGATTGTCAATTATGAGTTTTGACATAAAGCACATTACTCACCATTGAGGATATTGATGATGATAGTGGAATCATTTGTAACCGATACGATCATTTTACGATCGCTTTCGATTTTTCTATTAGCATTCTTTTTCTTTCTAGATAAAATACGTTAAGATGCGTTAAAACAACAAAGAAATACAACTTGTATGAAAAATCACAGCAACGCAGACTCGGTAATGGATTAATATTTTTTATAGTCATGGTCGTGTCGTGTGTTGTGTGAACTTGTGTGTTGTGTGAACTTGTGTGTGATTCCGTGCACGTGGCGGCGTGTGCATTGCCGATCATGTCGTCTCGTTCTATCGCAAAGAATCACCATTTGATGACAGCGAGAGCAAAAACGGAAATGGATAGTTAACACTGTGGCCGTGTAGTACGATGACGGTACGAGACCGTTGCCAAGACTTGCCAAGAGTCCCTTCTCCTGTCCTCTATGGCTAAATTTATATTTTTTTGTTTGATGTCAATAATTTGTCAATTGTCAATGTCAGTTGCGACGGAGAGGTTTACGATGAATTTGAGTAACATTTTCATTATTTTGGGATAATACAATTAATCTGGGGAACAATTCAGTGAATTAGTGTGATAAAAATTTATACATATTGCTAAAATGCCATCAAAACAGAGAAAAATTGCCATGATGGGTTATAGATCCGTAGGTAAAGTACAACATCATTTACTCGCATTTGTGCGTCTTAATTTTTTAAGTTTGTGACGTCTCATTATTTAATATTACTTTCAGGGAAATCATCTCTAATCATACAGTTCGTTGAAGGTCAATTTGTGGATTCTTACGACCCAACTATAGAAAACAGTGAGTTTTGGTTTCTATTAATTCTTTGTAACACTGAAGTGGCCATGTGTTCTTTTAGGATTTCATGTTATTTCATAATAATTAGTAAATAAACAGTGTTTATAAACAGATAAGATTGTCATTTGAAATAATATTGTTAAGTTGTTAAGTAATAATTATTTTTAAGAAAATTTTCTTTGCCTTTTTTACCAAGTGTATATTATAGTCATAACATTGCAGCTGTCAGTTACTCATTCAAACCACATTATTTATCATTATAATATTAACTTACCTTCGTGTGTGATTGTTTAGGTTTCAAAATGTTATATTTTCAGCATTTACAAAATTCATCCGGTTAAATTCAACTGAATATGAGGTGAAGCTGGTGGACACTGCAGGCCAGGATGAATACAGCATATTTCCCCTACAGTACAGCATGGACTTTCATGGCTATGTCCTTGTATATTCTATCACTTCAAGCAAAAGTTTTCAAATAGTACAAATCATTTATGATAAGCTTCTGGATATGGTTGGAAAAATACAGTATGTATAAACATTTATCTTTGAATTTTCAGTTAAAAATTACTTGTAAATATAATCTTGAGACAGTTTCATTGACATTTAATTGATTTACTTTATAATGCATATTTTTTTTATCTTCTAGTGTACCCATAGTTTTAGTTGGAAACAAAACAGATCTTCATCTAGAAAGGAAAATCAGTACAGAAGAAGGGAAAAGACTGGCTGAAAAATGGAAAGCTGCTTTTGTGGAAACCAGTGCAAAACGAAATGAGGTAAGAATCTTTTTTTTTCTTTCTTATTGAAAACAATGATATTGTTCAGTAATGTTGAACTTTGTTATACTTATTACTGATGTAAAATAATTTATTATTTAATAGAAACAAGTATTATGAAAAAAAATTTGTTACTTGAAAAAATATCTTTCCTTTTCAGTCAGTCACGGATATGTTTCACGCAATATTGTCAGAGATAGAGAGATCTGATGGACATATACAAGCAAAAAACGGATGTGTTATTTCGTAAAAGAGCATAGGTTATGAACAATGTGCTTTTTACTTAAGCAAAAGTGAATTAGATCTAATGATTGTGTGCATAGCTATGATGATATCATAAATAAGTGCTTCTCCATTGGCGAATGTGATTAAGAATGTAATGCATTTTTTTCTAATGAAATGTGATGTCAGGCACAAAAGCTACTGTCATACCTTTACATACATTGTAAAAGTTGGAATGGCATAATTCAAATATCATTCAGTAGGTCACATTTGCCAATGTATGTATAGTCTGACCAAAATCATAAGGCCTGGGGATTAAAGTCAATATCCAATTAAATCTCCAAAACTTTCTTCCCTTTTCTATAGGATGTTGATTGTCATTTACTACAAAAATGTAAGACCTGTAAGACCTTGGTCAGGCTATAATGCATCTTCTGAGAAGCATTTTATTTAATATAAACTGTCAAATATTTTTACTATTGCTAAATAAGCCACGGCCAGTTCCAACTAAATTTAGAAATATACAACATAATTTCTAGCTTCAAAGTGATTTCCACAAAACTATTTACTAAGTCTGTGTTGTCATATTTATAATGTAAAATGGTGCAAATAAGATAGTTGTATGCTGATTTGGGAGATTTATATGAGACATAGCATCGCAAAGGTGGGGTATAAAATTTACTGATCCATACCTATATTATGTGGCCTAAAGAGATTTTTCATGTGTGTGATTGGTCTAATCCAAAAGTATAAGAAATAATAGACAATCCTAAACAAGAAGAAGGGTAAGGGACGTTTTTTGACAAAAACTAAAATTGCATTATTAGAACTTGAAAAATAATAATCCTAACCAGTAATTGAATCCTTAGAATTGGATTCTTATATCTAATGAGTAATGATTAATGTAATTACGCAGGTTGTTGTATTATCTTTTTACATAATCAAGGAGCTCAAGTCAGGTAGGGTCATTTATTTTTCAAAATATAATGATGCATATTTCTTTTTTAAATTCGCAGAATCGCCCAGTTATTTAACTGTTCGCTGTCTTTTCGGATTTGGCCAACACTCACACTTAAAAAATACTTTGATGATTTAATTTCACACAAAGCATTTCAAATATTTATGTAATAATAGCTAATCGTACTTTCTTATATGCCACTGGACCACTTGCTTTGTTGTCTTGCATTGGAGAAATCATTACATACATACAGTACAACAAGTTGCAATAACTTTCAGTTGGAATTATTTTTGTACATCTACCGATTAATTACATGATGTAAATGTATATTTTTATAACAAGTCCAATTCGTTTGTAATAATGTATATTTATTAGCTTTTAGTAATCAATAATAACGTAGCCATTATATTTTTAGTTTTGGAAATTACATAACCAAGATCATTAATTTATAGGTTGGGGAAAATATTTCTAAGCTACACAGTAGGATTCTCAGGCAAGAAAAGAACTTGGGTTTATTTGTAAAATGTGTAAATAGTATATTTTATGTGTGTACATATTTAAAAACAGGATATGTAGGTGTAATTCTTAGATTTTGCATTTAGTGTTGGTTATGTAATAGTTTTTTTTTACGATAGTGTTCAAGGGAATTTCAATTCTGTTTGGATATCTAAACTCGGCTGCACGTAAGCTGCGATGCAGAATATAGACAACATTGAAGAGCAGATAATCCTAGTTATGTTCAAGAAAATGTACCTACTCCTGAATGCCTAAGACGTAAGGTGCATAGTACATCGACTCGAGGTGTAATATGAATTACTGCGCGCAGTTTGTCGACTTGACTTGAAACATGCACTGTATGCATTCGGACCATATTTGCTGGATTACCTATCTGCTCTTCACTGAACGTCCACCTGCTTCTCTTCTTACGCTCAACCTTATTGTTGTATTCAAAGATAAAATGTTAAGCTATATGCCAAATAAGCTATTTTACCTATAATATCACTGAAACATGCGCGAACACAATGAATTTATATACTGCCAATAAAATAAAATAATATGTAATTGAAAAACGAAAAGCAGATGTAGTGATACGATACAGAACTGCACCAATGAAATAGAAGTTTCGAAGGTTAGTAAAATACATATAGGTCGGGATTTCAAACGCGTCCGTATTTTCGTATGTATCTTTTCCTTTCACTCGTAGCAAGGTTCTGGTATGAGCGACAGGGATAGATACAAATGGTGTAGGGGAGAGGGTGGCGCCCAACTGGTAGTCATACTTATTATGCTTTAGATTCAAAATTGTTTCAGTTTTAACTGATTGATGTTTTGAATTAGTTACTATAGATTTTTATGTTATTTATAAAACCTTGATGACGTAAATTCGTATGAATATTTACTTAAAGTTGATATTCGTTACAATATGTTCAAACAAAAGATAGTGTTGGTTCTTTCTTACAAAGTGTTCTCGTACTTAGTATTTAGTCGCGAATATACATAACATTTTTTTTATTTAGGTACTTGTATTTGGCATTGCCATTTAATAAACGACTAACCAAAACAATGTACACCACCTACACCTATTATAAAATATGTAGGTTGGTATTTCTGTAAGTATTCGCTTTGGTGTGTGGATGATAAGTTTGATAGCAATAAAATGTACAATATTTGTTTAAATAATACAATACACCCGCAGCTCCACAAATTTAGTTCCTGTGACTAGCAGAGAGGATTAACCATAAAACCGCATTACCTCTAAAATACCTACTTTCTTTTAAAAAGAACCTCGATATTTTCTCGGACATACATACCTATTACACCTACCTAATTTTTAGACGAATAACGCACATTATAGGAATATTGATGCTACATTTATGAAATTTATTTTATTTTTGTAACAATCCAAAATACTATGTAAGCACGTATGTAAGTGACTGCACTTGGTCGTGGTTAAAATTATTTTACTGTAGGTATCTACAGGGTGGAAACGATAAGTGATCTCACTCGATTATTTCTAAACTATACAAGATATCAAAAAACTAGTTACTGATCCTGAAAGTGCTTCATGAGCTCTATCAAACGGCATTAATAATATGTTACAGAATAAACTGGATCTATCCGAAAATTCAATGTTTCCAGCTTCCATACATTTGGTAAAGTCACATTATTTTAAAAACTACACATGATATCGTAAAACTGATTACTGATTCTAAAAGTGCTTCACAAGCTCTATCCAATGGTATCAATATTAGGTTACAGAATAAACTGGATCAATCAAAAATTCAATGTTTCCTTCTTCCATACATTTAGTACTACCACAGTCATGACACTCATCTCTTGACAATATTATAGCAAGTAAAGCCTAAAACCAATGTTTTCCATGAATAATTTTAAATAAGAATACAATTTACGAGTTTATTTTAAGAGTTTATTATTCAATGAAAAAAAATACACTTCTAATATTGTGTGTCTGGCATACATTTAGTATGGAAGCTGGAAACATTGAATTTTCAGATAGATCCAGTTTATTTTGTAACCTATTATTGGAACCGTTTGAAAGAGCTCATGAAGCACTTTCAGGATCAGTAACGAGTTTTTCAATATCTTGAATAGTTTAGAAATAATCGAGTGAGATCACTTAACGTTTCCACCCTGTATAATATAAAAATGAATCGCAAAATGTGTTGGTAAGCGCATAACTCAACAACGCTTGGACCAATTTTACCAATTCTTTTTTTTAATGTTCGTTGAAGTCCAAGGATGGTTTTTACGGCGAGAAAAACTCGAATAATTTCCGGGAAAACCCTAAAAACAGCCCTTTTTTAACGCGGGCGAAGCCGTGGGCGGAAAGCTAGTTAATTTATAAACCGTTCCATGCAACAAAGTTTTCTCCATCAATCCAGCACACGTGGTTCTGCAGTAAAATTATTGTACGCCTACGAATAATTTATGCCATTGATAGTCTTTATTAGTATTTTAGTAAGGTTGATAACCTCCTAAAACTTTTAATTGAAATAAAAAGACTCGTCTTTTATATTTTTTCCATTTATAGTCGTTACCTAGGTAACGGTCATACAACTTTATTCGGCGGTGTCGCAAGTTGTTGTGTTTGCGATAGAATATCCGATACAAGCCAACTACACTCGACATCAAATAAATTGCACCTCAGTAACATTTGTGACAGTTCTAATAACGAAATCGTTTAACGGACCCGGACCGAAGTAACTAGGATGGATTTTGTAATTCCACCTGAAGGGACTGTTGATAGAAATTTTTCTTAAAGAAAACATTTCTTTATTTTTATTAAAAAGAAAGATAACTGCATTCTAGGATTTTTATAATTGACCCTAACTATCGATGCAATAAAAGTCAGGATGTAATTTTAACAGATTTTAGTCGGTTTGATTCCCGTGTGTGAAGAACGATTTTTTGGAAATCTTTGAATGCAGTTCTTTCTTTTCAATCATAAAGAAATGTTTTCTTTGACTAAAATTTTTTATCTACAGTATCAAGAGTATTTTTCCTGCAGATGACATCACAAAATTCCATCCTGATTATTTAAAAATGGTAGTTTTCAATCATGTTATTATTTTAAATTTACTGACCTTTTGTGTGATATCTATGATATGCGTATTTCACGTGAGTCATTGCGGTTTACTCAATCACGTGCAGTCGAACCTTTGAACTCGATAATATGGGAATGATTTACATTTATTGGGTAAATAATAATATACAGTGTGAGTCACGTTAAAGTGTACATATGAAAATAGATGAAACTAGACCTATTTTTATCGACAAAAAAGAGGTCAAAATTTTTTTTAGATTTTTTTAAAAAAATTTATAGAATTTTTTTTCTTCCAATTACTTTTTGTAAGGAAAACGTAATAACTTTTAAACTAAGCGGTATATCCTGATAAAATAAAAACAGTAATAATGCTAAATAACAGGCAATACTAAAAAAATACATAAAATACACAAAAAATGCCAACAAATAATAAAAAATTATACTTTTTGAAAAAAATCTGCTTAAAAATTCGTATTTTTTTGGTTATTTGATAAATTTCTCCAAAAAATGCCCCTATAACAGATGGTTTTTATTACTTTTTATTATTCTCTATCGTATTACTTTTGTAAAACCAAAAATCGCATGTCTCTATCCCTATCACAACGTTTGCAATGATCGTTTGAACTAAGCCTCTCTGGGCGCGCCATTCAACGCTTCGTTAACAACGAAACTGAAAGTGACTCTAGATTTGTAATTTTGATAAAGACAAGTTAGATTTCAAATAAAAACAAAATATTTCAAAGTAAAATAAGCATTTTAGTTAAAATTAAAATTGTCTCTACCTGTAGCGGAGAAAAATGTGGTGGCAAGCCTTTGTTCAAACGATCATGGCAAATGTTGTGATAGGGATAGAGACATGCGATTTTTGGTTTTACAAAAGTAATACGATAGAGAATAATAAAAAGTAATAAAAACCATCTGTTATAGGGGCATTTTTTGGAGAAATTTATCAAATAACCAAAAAAATACGAATTTTTAAGCAGATTTTTTTCAAAAAGTATCATTTTTTTTTATTCGTTGGCATTTTTTGTGTATTTTATGTATTTTTTTAGTGTTGCCTGTTATTTAGCATTATTACTGTTTTTATTTTGTCAGGATATACCGCTTAGTTTAAAAGTTATTACGTTTTCTTTACAATAAGTAATTGGAAGAAAAAAAATTCTATAAAATTTTTTAAAAAAATCTCAAAAATTTTTTGACCTCTTTTTTGTCGATTAAAATAGGTCTAGTTTCATCTATTTTTATATGTACACTTTAACGTGACTCACACTGTATTTGTAGTGTGATTCGTTATTATTACTTGCCCAAATAGAGTATTGATTTTTACATGAGCATATGAGTTTGCGTTGGATTCTAATGTAAATAATTGTGAATGTGATATATTCTTACTCTATCCCTTTACTGTATTTTATTTCATTTCTGGTGTTATGTGCAACTAGGTAAATATTGTTAGCTACTTTTTCAAAAACCTTATAAACGTATGGACTCCATTACTTTTTTTGTAAATAGTTTCTACTATAACACACCCTGTTCTAAGGCGCACTACTTTCCTCATGGACTAGGTAAAACTTTCGCTAAAAGCTAGTCCTCTCCTTACCGTTTTATCCGACTATTTTTTATCTTTTTTTTATTTATGAACTGGGTAAAATATATATTTTCATTATTTGTACAGTAACGTGGTATAACTAATATGCACTTGTCACGCGTTCGTTCAAGCAAATTACATAACAATTAATTATGTAATATTCTGTAAAATTTGTAGATTTTTTAAACAAAATGCGTGTATACGGCCTTACATTTGTTAACTAGAATGGTCGATGACTCATCAAGGTAAAATTACTGTGGGCATCTTAAGTAATGGTAATAGGTGTGATAATGGCACAAAAAAAGTATAGTGTGATGTGCTGTAAACTGACAAAAAAATCATTACAAAACTGCTGTTTCATTGTGTATTTTGGATGTTTTATTTTTTATGCCTCTTACCAGAACTTGTATGTCTTGCACAGGAATGTGCATTTAAAAATAATGCTATGCCAAGTCGGGGTTTTTCTGGAGTTTTGTAATACACGAGTACAAAACTTTTCACCGTGTTTTATTTTATAATAGCTTACACTTTTTCTTTAAAATAATTTATTTGCTTGTAAACGTGGTCAGTAACAATGGGTAAATAGGTAATAGGTAGGTCTTATTAATTATATCAGTACCTAAGCTTCCACGCAGACCACAGATTTTTAGTCGACTGATAGTTGGGTCGGGCTGTTATTCATCAGTATGAAGGAAGATGTATGGAAGTGCGCACACCACACCGATTTGGTATCGGCCGATTCCTCATACAAATTGGAAGCAGACTCAACTATCGGCCGATTAAAAGTAACATAGTGTACCGAATTTACAATCTCAAATTAAAACCCCGGCTCTGCAACCGCTTTTAGGTTCATTTATAGCTCGATCAAAGTAAGTAATTATTAATTATGTTAAGTTGTGTACCTACTTTATTTGTAAATATTAAATTAAAATATAGCTTCTGATATATAACTTGTTTCTTTTGCCACCCACATAAATAGTTAAAAACGATTTTTTAAATTAATTTATTATTCGCTTGTTTAACAGCTCATCGAAGTTCAATAGGTTACAAAAAATAGAACTTACCTTATGAGATTTTCTTCTGCTGTCCAGCTTATTATCTGAAAAGTTTCAGTGTTAGTAGGTAATTATAGTTAAGCAGCAGTACGCAGCAGCCATAATTATAACTAAAATACTGTGCACTTTTTTTTTTTTTTTTTTTTTTTTTTTTTTTTTTTTTTTTTTTTTTTTTTTTTTTTTTTTTTTTTTTTTTTTTTTTTTTTTTTTATGGCAATCCGCGCAGTATGCGCCGTGCCAGAGTCGAGTAAAACGGGGAAACGGGGAGATTAAAATATTTTCGGCAACGGATTTAAATTTAGGAAATTAGGATCAGGAGAGGACATAGGATATAGGTAACTACTACTAGTACTAAATACATAACGACTAAAATATTAAATACAAGAACAACAGGTTTATATCTTAATACTATTGAAATTTAAGTATGAAATAATACATTTATATACATTTATACAGTTTAAGTATAGTAGACATACTATAGAGGTTGGGAACGGAATATGGAGAGAGATTAATGAGTTCAGGAGGACATTTCGGTTACTGTAACGAGGACAAGTGAAGAGAATATGATTGAGATCCTCGACCTCTATCCCACACTCACACATTTCGTCATTAATAATGCGTAGTTTATATAGATGAGCACGTGTGCAAGTATGTCCTAAACGCATTCTTGTAATGATGGATGTTTCCATCTTGTTAAATTTAGTTTTGAAGAACCATGGCTTCAACGGAATTGTTGGTTGAATTTTAAAAAATGTTCTCCCTTTAGTTACACTACTATCCTCCCATTCTTCTTGCCATTTCTGTATATATTGTAGTTTAGGTAACGTCACTAAGTCGTGAGAATAATTCAGATAGGGGAACAAGTCTCCACAATGCACTGCCTCATTTGCTAGCCGATCAGATATTTCATTTCCCCTGATGTTTCTGTGACTGGGAATCCAAGCAAAATGTACAGTAAGTCCTTTCAAAAATGCGTAATATTTTTAATTTTATTATGTTTTTTTGCTGCCGGACTTGGGGGGGATTCCGAAATGGTAGGTGTAGGGGGCAGATCGCAGGCACAATCATTTTCCTTTACTTCTTGTCCAATATGTTTCCTTTTACGTTTGTTACAATTTTTACATTTGTGAACTCTGCAGCGTTTTCTAGCTGTAGTTGCAGGAGAACCATCCGTGTCCATAGCTGACTCATTGGAAATAGCCACCATTGGGCCTAAAAGGGGAGCAAAAGTATTCGCATCTACAGGGATAGTCACAAAGTGGCCCGCCGGGGGAGCCTCCCCCGGGTCAGGCGGCTCGTTCATCTTGACGACTAAATAGTTTTAAAGACTTACCAATATACAGCAATTATACACTAACTACACAATATATAAATAATCAAGTAAATATAAACACTAATTACACCTCTTCTGATCACTACAACAGATAAATTTTAATTTTAAAGCTAAGAGAAACAAAAACGCGCCCGACCAGTTTAACGTTTCCCGCGCTTTTTTTCTACTGTGCACTTCTTTCTTGGCAAACGTATAGTTTTAAAACTTTTCCCGCCAGTTACTACTTCTAAATTAAAAAAAAAATGTTGCAACTTAGGGCCATGGAGGTATAATACCTCCATGCTTAGGGCGCAGTGAAAAAAACTTATGGCCAAAGTGCGCGATGGCGATCCTACTTGATCCTACAGATCGCCATCATCGCCATCGCCATCGCCCACGCAGACTATAACGCGTTGGTTTGGCCGAAACTTTGTAAAATCAGCATTTATAGTACCTAGCCTAGCATACCAACTCGACTCAGGTCGACTTCAGAAAAAAAAAAATCTTGACTGGTTCTCACCAACTTTTGATTTTGGGGAATGTTTGATAATATTTAGGAATATTAATATAACATAACGTGATCTGTGATTATAACACTATATTCCATGCACTAACGCCAAAAAAGATAAAATGTCTATTTGACGTTACACATGTCAACACACACAACAACTTTTTATTGTGAAAATGGCGACTACCGGGGTTGGTTTTCGATGGTTAGATATATTAGAAAAGGAATTCGATAAAGCATGTGTCGAACTCGAAACGTCTTTAAGTAAGTATAATTTTCAATGAGTCAGTTATTGGTATACCATAACCGTAACCTTACTCTCCACTGATCATTTTTCGCTTGCACCAAGATTGTCGATTTATTTCCTTTCAAATCAATCAAATCAAATTGTTTATGTAATTTATCTATAGAAACGTTTAATCTAAAGCGATTTGCACACATTTATAATTATTAACAGCAGGAGAAGACCAGCCTTCTTCAAGCATACGATGGTACATTATGTATCATGTTTTAGCAATTTTATTGTTTCTATATTTCTTTCTTTTGTTATTACTATGACTCAATTGATTATTATTTTGTAAGGAATTAACTACACTAAAGAAAGACACCTTAACGCCAATGTTTATTGAAATTTATATGACTAAAAGGATTATTAGTAATCCTTGGAGTACAAAACTGTTAATGTTATTTACCGACATTTCTCCTATTAGTTAGTTAGTTTTGTAAGCTATCAAAGTGAATCAAGATAACTTGACTTTACAAGCGTTTTAGTTGAGTGCCAAAAACCAGACGGTTCAAATAATATATAATGATTTTGGATATCAAGACTGTAAATCAATAAACCATGCTGAATATTGAATGTTCCAATTGGACTTTGTTCATTGGTTATTAACATGTTAAAAATTATTTAACTTTTATTAAATTTTCCCTGAGATAATATTATTATGAAATATAATGAATGTAATACAATATTATTAATAATTTCAGCGGATTTGGAGACGGAGGAGCCTGACATAGTGTTCTCAGCCCGGCAGAAGATAGCTACACTGAGCTCTTGCTTTGCACAACTCTCACACAAATCACTGACTATATTTCAGAATAGTGCCAAATTGGAGGTAAGTGTATAAGAATTTTACTTAAAATTAATGAACTTTGATTCTACCTATTTTCATTAATAGTATAATTTACTATACAATCTCCTGTATGGGTTGTGTGTCTTAACTTATAAAATAAAGGTATACAGCTTTAACAATACATATAGGATGTAAGAAAAGATCACTTAACCTTGTGTTATGTGATAACTTTTACTATTAAAAGCCCCAAATAATTAATTATAAATGGTCATTGAAGATGACTGGTACTACATGAAATGGTTATTTAAATAAAGTTAATGAACTTGTAAAATTATAGGTTTTAGAAGTTAAAACGTAATTAAAAATACTATGACTGGGAACTGGATAAATAAACACAGGGGTAAAATTTCAAAATACGGTTTTATATCAATTTATATCAAGTAATACTTAATTAATATAGTATTAAAACATTATAATACAGTTCTTATACAAATGACACATTTTCACATAAAAAAATATAGTGGCTAGTTCCCTCGACTTGGACCGCGATCATATGGGTGTTTGTGGAGATGTCTTCGGTGCGGTGGCCGCTCCGTGGGGCTCTCTGTGCCCTTGTCCAAGCTTCTGCTGCTGAGTATCTTTTTATCCTCGTCCATCATGTCACCGCCGCCGCCATCGTCGTAAAAGCTGTACTCTGGGTCGTCATCCTCCCAATTAAATTCGTCATCATATTCTTGCTCACCTCTGTGAAAAAAATACATACATGGATTAGTATCTGATTTAACTTATTTATTCTGTGCCTAAAGCCTTAAACTTTGAAATAATCACGTCTCTCATTAAAAGTTAGTAACAAAGCAGCTAATATTATGTAATTGTAGGTATCTAAATCTTGCTAAGTATTTAATTGATTTCACTAGGAGTTTTTGATATAGCCAAACAGTGTTCTTTGCTTGTGCGCGATATGTTTTTCGTAATAAAGCAATCTCTGAGGGGTGGGAGATGCGATCAGAATACAGCCTTGAAGAGATTAAGCTAGTTGGAACATTACTCAAAAATACAGCCTTCAAATATCTAAAATATCTCTTACTTGATGCTATTCAGCTTCAGCAGAAGCTGGTCTGCAGCAGCCGTGATGTTGGGCGCCGGCCCGTCGCCGTCGTCCTTGAGTCTCGTCTCAAGCCGTTGCAGGGCCGCGTCCGCGCGGTTCGTGAGGTCCACCAGTTTCTCCGTCAGCTGCTGAAGTTCAGTCTCTTTGAACGACGGCTTCGTTGAGTTGCGCATGATGGTTTCGAGGCGGCGACAGGTGGAATCGCTCTGGAAAAAACGTGTATTTGCAAATAGGTGTCTAGTTGCGGAATAGTCCTTTTAGGTTTTATCTCTGAATTCCGCAAATTAAGGATTGACTCAGAATTCAAAGTATGCTAAATATTGAAGGATGTTTTATTAGGTTCCCATACTTTGAAACCCTTCTCAGGAAAATAATTTTATACACTTAGATGATTAATCAGCTTATCTTTGTATTATTCTGGAAGAATGTCTTGGAATGACGCACCATTTAATTATCGCTTAAAAAGCTTTGACTTGACTAAAGACGTACCTGTACATTATTACGGCCAGAATTTAGCAATTTGGTCACTTTCGCGTCGTGGTTCTTTATAGTGACTTGAATGTTTTGAAGTTCATGGAATGTTGACGCAGTCCTGAAACAGTTATTAGATATTAGTACCCATTCCTTAATAATTAATTAAACCAATTTAAGAAATGAAGAAAAAAAAACATACTTATTTATTAGTGTGTCGATCAATTTTCCCAAAACATCGGCGACTTGATTGGGATCGTCAAGTTGTACTCGTTGGCAAGAATCGACGTAACGCTTTTGGGCATCCAATAATACGTTCATCTGAAATGCAAAAAGGAAATGTTATTTTCAACAGGTATCAGGTCTTTTACGCCTAGCCGTTGTTACTTTTAGCTGTTTCTATGTACACTACTAGAGCTCCCCTAACGAAGTTTCTTCGAACCCTAGCTTAGCATCAATCTTGATGGTGCCATCCGAAAGTTTTAACTGTAAAGCTTGCGCCGCTTTACAAGGGAGCGCCGAGGGGCAAATAGGTGAACATCAAGCTTCTTGAAGCCGTCTAGCCAACGAAGTGTAGAATTCTCAAATCCTCCATTTGCCGTTGGTAAATTAGAGAGGGTCTCGTGGTCCTGTAGTAGAGTCTTAATGACCTGAAAATGATCATGTTGCCTAAGCATCAATCTTGTTGGTGTTGGTGTTGTCGTTGATCTGCCTCGCGAGGCCGGTATCGAGTGGGGCGAAGCGCGCGTGTCCCTGGCGCCTGATCAAATTGCGCAGCCCATCGGCGAGCTAAATACTCAACTAGTGATGTTACCTTAGCATCAATCTTGTTGGTGTTGTCGTTGATCTGCCTCGCGAGGCCGGTATCGAGGGGGGCGAAGCGCGCGTGTCCCTGGCGCCTGATCAAATTGCGCAGCCCATCGGCGAGCTAAATACTCAAGTAATGATGTTACCTTAGCATCAATCTTGTTGGTGTTGTCGTTGATCTGCCTCGCGAGGCCGGTATCGAGGGGGGCGAAGCGCGCGTGTCCCTGGCGCCGGGCCAGTGCTCGCAGCCCGTCGGCCAGCTCGCGCCGCGTCACGTTGACCAGCGAGAGCCCGTCCCTCATCAGCGACTCTAGCACCAGGCCGCGGTGCCACGTGTCCGCATACGCGCCGTTAACCTGAAATTTATACAACACAAATAAATAAAAAAAAAAAAAAATCAAAAAATATTTATTCAGTTTAGACCACAAGTGGCACTTATGAACGTCAATAGAAAATAATAAAAAAAGAAAAAGGTAGCCCTTATGGGGCACTTTACATGTCTCCTTATCTTTTGGGCCCTACCAAATCGCTTGAATCATAGACCTAGTCGATGAACAAAACTTGATAGAGTAAAATTAAAATGTCTAATAGGGATTTTGCAACCGATGGTTATCAAGGCATAAAGTGCGATATTATTTGCTACAAGAACCACAATTTACAATTTTTTGTGGAACAGAACAAAGAAAGAGTCTTAAACAGAGCCTTAGCAGGAAAAACGCAAAAATATTTATTCAGTTTAGACCACAAGTGGCACTTATGAACGTCAATAGAAAATAATAAAAAAAGAAAAAGGTAGCCCTTATGGGGCACTTTACATGTCTCCTTATCTTTTGGGCCCTACCAAATCGCTTGAATCATAGACCTAGTCGATGAACAAAACTTGATAGAGTAAAATTAAAATGTCTAATAGGGATTTTGCAACCGATGGTTATCAAGGCATAAAGTGCGATATTATTTGCTACAAGAACCACAATTTACAATTTTTTGTGGAACAGAACAAAGAAAGAGTCTTAAACAGAGCCTTAGCAGGAAAAACAGCTCAAAACAAAAATTGTTTATTTTCCGCAAATTACCTTGTCTAAAAGACGTCGATGTAAATCGATTTGACTCGTCAGATTCTGCGCCAACTCCACCAGGCTCGTCTGAGTGCGTTCTAATTTGTCACTGCTCTCCTTAATTGATGTCTGTAAAGAAAAACATATTATGCAGCTTTATTTTATCTGCTTTTTATTGATAGCGAGATGTTTTTGGTATAAAATCTACGTATATTACCTGTACACTCGTTTGGAGCATATGCAAGCGATGTTCCAATCGCTCTGCGGCTAACTGTGCCCTCTCCAGCTTCAGAGATAGAGCCGTCTCTACTCGATCTGAAACGTAAACGATTCGATTATTACCATTTCCTATTCGTTTTCAATTACTCATCAAAGGGCTGTGGTTAATGTAGGCAAACTAGACGTCCGATATAAGCGGATCTTTTAACCAATTGATTAAACGTTGCTCTTGTTTGGTCAATTGCGGGTGATGTTGGAGCAATATTGCGAAAGTTAGACTAACGTGTACATTCTAAAATAGGATATGACACAATAAGATTATGCTCTATGAGTCATTTGTTCGGTGAATATGCCATAAAATACCATTTAATAGACAGAGTTTGCAGCGGCTATTAATTTTTAAGATAAGAAATAATAATGTTCCTTTAGTTAGAGAGAGGTTAGAGTATATGCCCCATAGGGCACGAGATCGTAAAATGTTTGTTAAACTATGAAACCCTAAAAGTTTTCTTTTGAACTCACATGTGAGATACCTATAGGAAACGCAATGTTAAATCCTCAAAAAAATTATGTGTTTTCGTCGTAAGCTACACCGGTTTGCCTTGCCTGTCTTCCTTATGACATGCAAAACATTACTTTCAGGGTCATCTTTACGAGAGATATGCAATTACAAAGTAAAATTTCGTACCAAGTTTGTCCTGAATGACGTCGAGGCGCCGCGCCTGCTTGACTTGCGCGGCACTGACAGCGTCCAGCACCCGCAATCGTTCGTCGATGCTCGCCAGGACCCCGCTCAAGTCCTGAAAACAATAAGTTACATCATGATCCTCAGGTCATTTAGTCTCCATTAGTTAGACACCCCGCAAACTACAGACTGATAGTTTGATCGGGCTGATAATAATCAGTGTGAACATTGTACAGAACTTTAAAGTCCGCAGTTCGCACCTTACACCGATTCCTCATACAAATTATTGGAAGCTGACCAAACTATCCGCCGATTAAAAGTCTGTAGTCTATAGGGAGTCTTTCCTGTAATGATGACGGTCGTGCAGGAGCACGTCGCTCTTTAATTTACGAGATGCTAATGGAGGATTTGGCCAGACGGGTTGGGGAAGCAAATTAAATACCATTAAATAAACAATTACACGCGCGGGCGCAACTGCCGACCGGCGGCATGATGAGTTGTTAACCAAACGGAAATGTTCCTTGTTTGTTTCACTTTGCTGTACAGTTAGTTGGAATATCTTTACTAAATATGGAAATATGAAATGAGTACAACATATTATATTTACATAAGTAATTTAGTTCTTTTGTTTTAAATGTAAAGGTTTTTGACCAATTTTTTCCTTATACATTTTAACCTATGGTGGTTTGATGACTCCAATGACTTATCCTTAACCTTGATATAGAAGAATGTAGACGCTGCTTATGGGTGCATTCGTTTCGGGGATTTTTTAAAGTTTAGATACAGATCGGATAACGATGAAGGTTAATCCGTCCATTAGTTCGTTCGTTATGACTTTCGTATTGACAAAAAAAAAGACAAATACAAATTACTGCAAGAACAAAACTACCTTAAAATACAGAGGTGTGACAGAGGGACGAGGAGGTTTCATCACGAATTTCTTATCCTTCAGCAATAGAGCCTCAAATCGAGCAGAGAGCGCTACCTTTCAGAAAATCCCAGCAAAACGATCCTGGTTCCAAGTGGATGAAGAAGGTGTAAACTTAATGATTTAAAGATGCCAAAGACAAGAAAATAGTTACCTTTTGGTTGACTATGGTCTTGGCGTACAGACGCAAGTTTTGAGGCTCGGCGGGCGAGGTGCGCGCCAAGCAGAGGCACGCGAGCGCCGCCACAGTCGCGCTTAACATCGCCTCGTCTGAAACATGCAATCAATCTCTTTTACATTTCAATTTTATACTTGTGTCACGAGTGAGCTCACCACAATAGTCGAGGCGCGGCGAGAACCGAACCCGCGTTCCCCGAATCACGAGTCGGCTAGTCCGACCCCTTCACCGTTCTGCTATCGTGGCTTAAACTACTATGTACTAAGTTTGAAATTTTAAAAATCCGACGACTTTGTAACACGTTAACCTGGCAGACCTAGTTTTAAGGCTGGGGATGCCCATCCCTTGAGCACCGATGAAAGCTCTGAATCTAAAGCTGAACTGTTTGTTCATAGACCTAGTTTTAAGATTGAGCAACGCAGAAAGTTCTAAACGGAAAGCTTTACTGCTTGTTCTCATAAATTTTCTCGTAGAGATTAGAGATTTTATGTGAAACATATGCTGTAACATAATTGTTGTACTTTTCTTATCTATTCGTGGAAGTCATGTAAATTATGTCAAGTTTAATTATCTTTCAGCGTTGACTGATAAGGAAAGGAAAACTTGTTCACCACATTTCCACTAAAATCTCAGTAAAATTTGTGAAGTGGAATTCCTCTGGTCTGTTAAATGTGCGTTTTGTACGAGCGGTTGTATGAATGGGCATTATGATGCAAAGCGTTTACACCTCCGCAAGTCGTGCATTAATGTAATCTGTTGTTATTACTGCCTTCCTTTGTCTGCCAGCACAGTTCTTGGCTAAACAAACACGGTGGGACGTCTCGCGTGCCGGGTTATTGATATGAGGCAGGAGGCTTTGCTTTATGCGGTAATCGTTAAAATTCTTTATTTCGTTAAAAATTTTAGTTCTCTTCTCTTTCTCTTACCACTTCATTAACTCTTCCCGTGCGTAAGTTTAACTTTTAACTAACGTATTTGCCATTTCGGTACAAAATTATAGCATTACTAGCTGACTTTCATCACAATTCATCTAGAAGTATGTATGCTAACACGCATTTGTCATCTCTTTCATCGATTTTATAAAATGTTTTAAAAAGTTTAATTTACATATTTAAAACAAACATTTGACCAAAGCTCTCCATTAAGATTCTGGTAATATGGTCGTCTTTATTGTTTTTTATTGCGGCTGATGGCATTGTTATCTACATCAACGAGGCCGTAAATAAAATAAACATCGCGCGCGGCACCGAGGGAATGCACACGCAATTTTTACTGCATATCAGTCTGCTCCCATTTGCAACGGGGATCCGACACGCTGCTGTCTCCACCGTATATTGGACAGCAATTATAAATAACCTTTTTAATCTTATGATATCATCTTGTGCAGTTATTACCACTCAAGACAGAGTGTTGAAGAAAGTGCCAATAAGTAAAACCGATGCTAACGGAACTTTAAAGTACACAAATAAGGTCACCGGGTGAGGACACCTCAGTACAAATATTAAAATAAAGAGAATTCAAACATTAAAATTTGGGAATGTGCAGCATACATTAACGTGAATCAGAGAAACTTCTGATTTTGTTGTATAAAATAAGATTAACAAAAGTGGAGTCAATGAAGTAGGTACTTAGATTTAGAATAGAACTCTCCAGTTGGTTAAAACCAGTTGCCTCCCCTCCCACAAATCTTTGCACTTGCTGTGAAATACTTGAATCATAAATAGGCGTCAGGGATAATCAGGTTATGAAATCGTGTTCAACAATTCTCATATCAATTACAATATTTGTTTTGATAGGTGTAATTATAATTTTGACGCGTGAAAGGTGCTTTTGTTCGCGCTCGCGCATGATCATTCGCGGCGCGATGACATGCATTGTTTATTTCACCGATCAACGGCAGGTGTGCCGTCTCGTCCTGTTTATGTGCATCTATTTATTTGCATTCCGGTGCAGTTCGTGGACCCCGGGATTATCATTGTCTACCAACGCCCACGCCCGAGGGGTCAGCCTCGTCAGACTTTGACGTTTACATGATTACATAACCCCGCTTGCTATTATTATGACTATTTTTTTTTCTGAAATTGTATTGCTAAGACTTGAAGAAAGAAGAGAATCGACGAGGTCTAATCTAATCTAATTCTACTTCACTATGAAGATTACTAGGTTTTAATTCTAATTTCAGGTTCTTCAATTCAACTTGTAAACACAAGCAAATTGCGTATCATTGGCATGCTTTCAAAGTTTTAATTAACGCAGCATCCAAAGAGGAAAGGATGCAATTAGATACAGTATTGACAGTAGGTCAATGTATTAAAAGTGACGGTTATTAGACCCCGATTGCATGTGGTAAGAAATGTATTGATGGTGTCGGCAGCCGGTAGACAGTCGTCACGTCACGTAGCCGCGCTCCTTTCGGTGCCTGGGAGCATTCGTCACGGCCCCTCCGCCAGGGAGATTGTATCTGATAATTGACGTTCGATTCCGACTACCAAGCGCTTGCCAGACTAGACGATGATTTAACACTGATCATTGACAGCTAAATAATCATGATCAATGAATGATAGCGCCTTAATGAGATGAAATCAAAAGGCGCCCCACATACTTATAAATCTAAAAAGAAAACACTCCTTAATTCAAGACGCCTCTCTTTACTGGGCCTCGTTGAATATGTCGAGACAACTCGTAAAGAAATATTGTTAAGTGCAGTTCAATTGACGGAACCCCTCATTAATTTTTTGTTCCTGTTACATACCTGGAGGCAATCGAAAATTCGGAAAGGGAAAAGAATGGACGTTCCTGTGGTGCATTGACCTTCGCGAATGCAATGCGTGCATTGCAGATTGCAATGTATGTGCAAGTAACGATGTTTATGACATTTTGGTGTCACTGAATATTGATGTATTGTGAATAGAAAGTCATCGCGCTGACTTAGATTTCCTGTGGCGAATACAGCGGAGCTTGTCAAAGTTCAGTGGAGCTGGAACGGAGCCAAAGCGGCTACAGAGCGCTCACTTCCAGGTGCTAAAACACACTTTCATTGCTCTTATTGGAACACAAACGTTCTAATGAAACCTAATTAACGTCTAGACGCGGAGTTTATAATTTTACGTCTATTTATCGCTGTAATCCCAGCTGGACATTTCCCGGATCAAGTTTCAAAACAAGTTATGTTCCTTATAGTCCTAGAGATTTTTTATGAGACAGCTAGAGATGATTAAAGCAAAACATAGGAATTGGGTTTTTTGTTCATTATGTTTCTTATCCTTTGTCAGATATTAGGTACCACGAATTCTTAATAATTATCATACCCAATTTACTTGAAAAAACATGATCAAAAACGTGTAAGTTCTTTACCTTTTTCGGTTTTTCTAAATCTAAGCTGCTACATTGGAAGCAATTTATTTCAACAGTAGTCGGTGCGCCGCGGCGCGGCGTAGTAACGGTGAAAAATTAATCTGATTTTTTCTTGCCGAGTCATGCGGCTTCCGTTGTTAAATTAAAATGTAGGGAAGGAAGATGTCCTATTATTTTTTTTCTAATGCATCTCGGAGATTCTTACATGTACACAAAATGAAAAGGAAAGACCACCCGAGATCACTGCCCGTCTTTAGTTTATTTTTAATTCTCTCCACAGTCGTCTGATTTATTAAATGCACCACGATAGTGACGAGGCTGTACAATGACTACACGAATACTAGTTTGTAACTCCTCATGCACAAAAGTCACACCAGTCGCGTAACAAGATATCATAATCCGTGTTGAATGGTTTACCCACCACTCCGTCGGGCTAATGTCGTAGATCTTAATAAAGATAAATAGCGGATCATGTCAGTACTAGTTAAATCCTTTTCGAGTTCAGCATGGTATGCCCTTCGATATCCAATACGTAGCAATGACATCGGAAGGAGGTCAGTGAGACATCTCTATGGCTGGGTATGCTATCGATTGAATGAAAGTGGAGTCAATAAATAACCATTTCCATGTCAACAGATTTAGGCCATGGATTTTACTGGCTAATTCGTTTAAGACTATTAGTATTCATCAGACAACAACGCCCGAGGAATTTAGTCGTAGATGTTTATTGTGTCAGTCACCACGATCTGCTGGGCGCGGGGGCATGTCCCGCCAACTTTACCTCTGCGCGACTACGCGAGCTTCGTGGAATGTCGTCGGGTAGCTGATTATAAATTTGCCTTTATGTTGCAATTCCATGACTCACCAGTTTTAAAATTTTCTCTTTACAATTCAAGTTTTTTAATGCAAAAAGCCGCCCTTAATTACTTCTCCAGCCATTTTAAAATTACTTCGTCATTGATGAATTCGACTTGAAGGTAAAAAATTAATATTGTAAATTACAGATTGAAGGGACTCCGCATAATTAGCTTTTGTGTTTCGAGACAGGCCTTTCCGGTCACCAGGTATCATCAGTACCAGCCCACTTCCAAAATATGACGTGCTTGACATGTGTGTCTGCCACCATCACTCCCACAACGGAGCTTGTTAATCCACTTGATGACATGTATTTACGTTAAAGACTTGTGGGTGATATGATGTAAGCGAACTGTCTAAACTGTCTTCTCTTGATGAACAAACAGTAACTTTTGTGTTTGTTGCCATATTACAGTTTAATACTACTTACTACTAGTTGCAGTATCAATTTCTACAAACTATCTTCATGTTATTAATAGTGGTTGATGGTATGTTCTTGTACGTCTGTTATCAGTTCGCGTCACTTCATCGTTTGTCCTCCTTTCAGAAGTTTTGCTTCTGTTGAATCATGTTTGTCTGTGCATAGTTTTAACGTTTCGTGTCAATGTTGCCTCATCACTGTCGCCTGTTATCGTAACACCAATGGATATTCTGGAATGGATTTGAAAGAAGTGAGCCTCAGGTGAGTATCTTGGGTGTTTTGTTCAAACAATGGTATGTGGTAAAGGTCCTTGAACTGGCTAGTGTCAACTTCTTCACCCAAGTGGGTTACCGCGGCGCGCGCGCAGACGGCGCGGCGACCACTCGCCCGGACCGGCTGCCAATTATTTGGTATCAACCACTAAGTTGATAGATTTAACCTATTCGGAATTTTGCGAATGCCGGTAGCCAAGCTCT